AAGTTGTTGCAACCAAAAGACTGAATATAAGACCATTTTTTGGCCTGGGGTGGGAGACAGCGTCTTGCTGCATTTTGAACAAGGGATCAGGATTGAGGAGTCTGGCTTGGCGTGGACAGGCTTTAGGAAATATTGTAATATAAAGCAAGTCTCTGTTCAGATTTAGATGGTGGGTGGGAGGGATCTCCTGGGCCTGCGCTTTGCAGGGTGAGACCAACACAAACAACTTAATGGTTGTGTCCAAGTAAGTTCTACTCAGAGCAGACCCACTGGAATTTATGTCGCTAGGGAAGTCATAGCTATCACTTTCAGTCAGTGGCGTAGCGTGGGTTGTCAGCACCCGGGGCAAGGCAAGTAATTTGCGCCCCCTAACCCGTGGATTTGCGCCCCCTAACCTGTGGATTTGCCCTAACCCCAGATGTTGCGCCTGGTGCGGCCGGCCCCCCCCCTGCACCCCCCACGCTACGCCACTGCTTTCAGTGGGTCTACTCTGAGTTAACGGCTAACACTGGAGACAACCCCAGGGGCTCAGCCTCACTGAGATGCCCTGTAGCAACACTTGCTTATTTAGGAATGTGACATATTAAGAACACATGGTTTTTCCAAAATGCAAAACATGGGAGGTTGCCTTGCACTGCGTCACAGCTCTAGTCCAACTACTTCCGTTCTGTCAACAGCTCTCCAAGGTTTCAGGCAGAGAATTGTTTCCAGGCATATCTGGAGATCTTAGAGATTCAGCTGGGACCTTCTGAATGAAATACACATGTTCCAACACTGAGCTCAGGGCCTGCCCCACACAGATTCAAAACAGGCCATGCAGCTCTTCTTCATCTGTGTGTGTGTGTGTGTGTGTGTGTGTGTGTGTGTGTGTTTGTGCGTGCGCACAGCTAAGTCCCATAAAGCAAGTCCCACTGAATTCAGTGATAGGGTGGTGGTAGAGCTGATTCTGGTTGACCTTTTTTCTTACCAGAGCCCACTTGCGCCATCAGTTGTGTCTATACATTTTTCAGTGCTGCTTGCTGACCCTTGACATCACCAAATATGCAGATTGATTTAAAATTAAGACACACCAGAGCTTGGTGATAAAGCTGAGGGTATGGTTGGTTTAAGTCATTGTTCTTTTTGAATTAAGTTTCCTACTGATTACTTTTTCCATGTTTTTCCCTAAGCAATGGTGCAAATGTGACCATTAAAAGGTAAAGGGACCCCTGACCATTAGGTCCAGTTGTGGCTGACTCTGGGGTTGCGGCGCTCATCTCGCTTTATTGGCCGAGGGAGCCGGTGTACAGCTTCCAGGTCATGTGGCCAGCATGACTAAGCCACTTCTGGCGAACCAGAGCAGCGCACGGAAACGCCGTTTACCTTCCCGCCGGAGCGGTACCTATTTATCTACTTGCACTTTGTCATGCTTTCGAACTGCTAGGTTGGCAGGAGCAGGGACCGAGCAACGGGAGCTCGCCCTGTCACGGGGATTCGAACCGCCAACCTTCTGATTGGCAAGCCCTAGGCTCTGTGGTTTAACCCACAGCGCCACCCGCGTCCAATTAAACTAAGCTAAATTTGCAGCTCAACAGTATATATTATTCATACTGCCATTTCGTTCTTACATCTAGGCTTTGTATCTTTTTGTCAGACAGTGTATACGTATATTTGGCATGCTTTCCTTTTTCATCTATCTTTATGAAATGTCTTTATGAAATCTTGCTATATAGCAGCCTCCCCCAATTTGATATCCATCTAGATGTTTTGGACAGCTCCCATTAGCCTCAGCCGGCATGGAGTGTGCCCAGGAAAAAAGAGAGTCCAGCAACATCTGCCAGACTGCAGGTTCCCCATCACAATGGTAAAGCAACTGATCCAATTTAGAATTTAACTGCATGGCTCATGGTCCTTTATTTCCATTATTTAATATTAACCTGTGTACTCCTTGTACAACTTAACTGTCAATTAAACAATTAAATGATCCTATTTATCTACCCTGTTACAAAATTTCTCATTTGTAGTACTAACATGCTACTTCAACCAAGGTCCACCCAAGCTAGTGTCATGGCCCCAGACCTCTGAACATGGATCCACGTTCTGGTCCTTCCCTTGTGGATCTACAGCAGTGTTTCCCAAACGTTTTTGGGCAACGGCACACCTGTTTACTGAAAAAAAATCTCGCGGCACACCACCATTAAAGCCCCGCCCCGTGACGTCAGCGCGCAGCGTCACGCCGGGAGGGACGCACAAAAGTGAAAGTTTTCCCTCCCCTTGTGGGAACCTCAACTTTGGGTGGGGGAGCACAGGACTGAGGGACGCGCACTAGCGCGGCGCAGCAGAGCTGGGAGGGGTTTCCGGGGACACCATCTCGAAGCTTCTCTCACTGCGCTCAATCGCTCGGAGAGATCCTCCGGCCAGCTCCCGCCGCGCAGGACGATGCGTTCTCTGGCTTCCCTCGCGCAGGCTAGGAGGGAGGAGGGGCGTGTGACCTCTCTGCTGGGAACCACCAGTGAGCAGAGCGGGGAGGCCCCAGCATGCGCTGCCGGCTGCGAGAAAGGCCAGCAGAGCAGAGCGCCTCTCCTCTGCCGCCCGCCGCCTCTCCGCCCGCTCGGCTCCCCATGCATCTCGCGGCACGACTACTCTCCGGCACACTGTGTCGCGGACACGTTGGAAACATCAGCTGCTCCCGAAACCTAGGAGAACCTCTGCACACTCAGGCTGTCCTCAGACATTGCAAGCTGGAACCCCATTTAACCGATGAAGAATCCCAACACCTACAGGTAGTACTGGCCAGAAGCTGGTCAATAAGGCTGCAGTGAATGTCTACCCAGCCCTGCTATAAAGTCCATCCAGTTGCTCCAGAATTTTGCTGAAACTGTTTAGATGTTTTGTCTAGTTATCCAGCATGGCTGCATGGGGAGCCAGGAACGACTGTTTTCCCCTTGCTGGGTCATCACTCCTGCTTGGGGATAGGCACCCCTGCAGCCCCAAACACCTGGTATTCTTTGCAATAATCCTAGGAGAAACTAAGCGGTCCACCAGAACTTGGGCTATGGCCCACAGATACCTTCTGCAACAGGGTGTACTCTGCAGTAAGAGTATTTAGGACCAGTCTTTTTCAGCTGAATCATGGTGTTGACATGTTTGTAATCTTCTGAAGCTGTACTAAACGAATCCACCGTTTACCAAAATGGTTAGGTTTACTATTTCTAAGAAAAGATAAATGTGGATTAAGTATGGAGTACGTTGCATCTGGCCTCCATTTGTTGTTTGTATTTCACTGCCCCCCCCCATATCTTGGGTGGCACACCCCTGATTTAGTGATTTGTGTAAAAGCATTGCCCGCTTTTCTCTAGTAATTCCTGGTTGTGGCTCAAGAGGAGGAATATGAGGAACTTGAAGCCCTCTCCAGCTACTCTTGGACTCTGTAACTCCCACCAGCCCCAGCCAGGAATGATGGGGGTTATAGTGTAGCAACAACTGCAGGGCCATGGGTTCCTCATCCTTACTCTAGTCTACAAAGAAGCTACTGCCTGCAGAGGACCAGTACAGTGGTGCCTCGCAAGACGAAAAGAATCCGTTCCATGATTCTCTTCGTCTAGCGGTTTTTTCGTCTTGCGAAGCAACCCCATTAGCGGCTAAGAGGATTAGCGCTATTAGCGATTTAGCGGCTTAGCGGCTATTAAAGGCTTAGCGGCTAAGCTGTTAAAAGGCTATTAACGGCTTAGCGGCTTTGAAAAAGGGGGGGAAGCGGGGGGGGGATCGCAAGACGTTTTCGTCTTGCGAAGCAAGCCCATAGGGAAATTCGTCTTGTGAAGCGCCTCCGCAACGGAAAACCGTTTCGTCTTGCGGGTTTTTCGTCTTGCGAGGCATTCGTCTTGCGGGGCACCACTGTATTTTTCTAACCTGAGTCTCCAGCTGTTGTTGGACCACAGTTCCCATTATTCCCAGTGAGCTGGACCAGTGGTCAGGCATGATGGGAGTTGAGGTCCAACAACCGATGGCATTAGCAATGTTTCCGGATCACAATGGGATCGGACTCTTCAGTCATTGCACTCGGGGATGATGTCAATTTGTTGCTATGAAGTACTAACTCAGTGTCACCCTTTTAAGCCTGTGAAATTTCTAATTATCACTGTAATCTCATGATAAGAGCTCAAAGACCAATTTTACTCTGAATAACCTCCAACGTTTCTAAAGATGCAACTTTTAATAAATCAAGAGTGATTATGGAAAAAGGTCTCTGTGGGTGTTCTGTTTCAGTGGGATCTATTCTAATCCAGCCCCATTTCAATGTAATGCAAATAAAAAAATACATAGAACCGTAGAGCTGGAAGGGGACCATGAGGGTCATCTAGTCCAACCCCCACCCCCGCAATGCAGGAATCTTTTGCCCAATGTAGGGCTCGAACTCACAATCTGAGATATCTTGAGTTGCTTCTATGAACATAGGCTTAAAATGCAAATGTCAGTTACATCTGAGATTGAAGAAAGGGAGTATGTGACACACCAGGTTCTATTGAGAGCTGGAGTCCCATCAGCCCCAGTCCGAACAGCCAATAATCTGGGGTGTTGGGATCTGATTAACAAATGGAGGGCCACATATTCCTCAAATACCCAGCTTTCCCCCCACACTGTGTTTGCAAAAAATGCAAAATATTTTAGTGGCTCTATTAAAAAGCAGGAAGATGAGGTGGAAGATCATACGCTGGATGCTTTAAATGACTTTAAATTCTCTACACCAGCCTTTCTCAACCTTGGGTCTCCAGCTGTTGTTGGGTCACAACTCCCACCACCCCTAGTGAGCAGTCCCAGTAGTCAAGGATGGCTGGAGTTGTAGTCCAGCAACAGCTGGAGACCCAAGGTTGAGAAAGGCTGTTCTACAGAGTGCTTTCCCTGGTCCAGTGGGTTCAAGAATTGCCATGAAGAGAAATGCTCACAGCAATCCTGTTGGCAGGTGGACATGCAAAGCCGTGGATTCACCCCACCCTTAAGTCCTTCAGAACAAAAACAGCAACAAAATTACAGCATACTTTTATTTCTCTAAAAGGAGATGACAAGGGGGAAAAGATGGTGGGGGGCGGGACAGAAAAGGAATAAGGCTTTTCCAGCAAAAGAAAAAAAATTAAACGAATTAAGCTCCCCCCCCCCACCAAATAGGCAGCTTCATCTGGCCCTCTACCTAGCCAACCAGCTGTGATGAAAAGAGGGCGTCCGCTTCATTTCCCTGGCCTCAGCCTTTTACAGATGCACCTGCTCCAGCATCTGCCGAGACCCTCCCTTCAACCATGGAACTCTTTCACCTTCACAGGAAGTCCTGATCCTTTCCTACAGCAGCAGCGGCCTGTCTCCCCAAAGAGCTATTGCTAGCAGCCGGGAGATGGCCCTTTCACCTCCTCCACGATGGGCAGCGCTCCACACACATCATCTATTCAAATTGTGCCTCTGATCTGCAGCGGAAGCCTCTTCTCCTGAAGACTGACATGCTTCCATTAACACTGTAATTTGCTTTCCTACACTAGGAGCCTCTGTTTTACAATCCATCTTGTCAATGGCAGCAGGAGCAGCAGCCGGAGCAGGAGCAGCAGCCGGAGCAGGAGCAGCAGCAGGAGGAGTCGGAGTCTGCAGGCCACTCAGCTCCTGCTGGGGATTATTGGATTTGTCCACAAATGCAGTAGCAGGCTGGAGTCTCGTGGCTTTGTACCGCTGCAATTGAAAATAAAAGGAATTCAAGGTTACTCGTAATCTGGTCCCCAATGTGAGGATGCCACCCCACAAACGTGTGGTGGGCAAACCTGTGCAACAGCAGCGGGGAGCAACTCCTCACTCAAGAGGGTCTCTACCCTTGATAGCCAGTGGCCCTGCTGCAGTCCTAGGGGAACACAACCCAGCAATGTGCTTTATTTTTTACCAAAGATGCATACTAGTCCTCATGGCTTCAGATAAATCTGTGGGGAGTGTAGAAGAGAGGTGATGCTGAGTAAGATTTCCAGTGGTTGGGGAGTCAGGACTACAGGGTCCTTCAGGGCCCTTTGACTTAGTGACAACAAGACCAAATTTATATAGTAGGTACTGCAGAACTGGGACACGGGTGGCGCTGTGGGTTAAACCACAGAGCCTAGGACTTGCTGATCAGAAGGTTGGCGGTTCGAATCCCCACGACGGGGTGAGCTCCCGTTGCTCAGTCCCTGCTCCTGCCCACCTAGCAGTTCGAAAGCACGTCAAAGTGCAAGTAGATAAATAGGTACCGCTCCGGCGGGAAGGTAAACGGCGTTTCCATGCGCTGCTCTGGTTCGCCAGAAGCGGCTTAGTCATGCTGGCCACATGACCTGGAAGCTGTACGCCGGCTCCCTCGGCCAGTAAAGCGAGATGAGCGCCGCAACCCCAGAGTAGGTCACAACTGGACCTAATGGTCAGGGGTCCCTTTACCTTTACCTGCAGAACTGGTTGTGCATTTTTGCTGCATAGTTTTTCAGGTTTTAGCATGAAATATGCACCAGTTCTCCACTGTACGATATATGCTGCCTAATGGGTAGCATCACACATAACAAGTTTGACAGTTACTGACATTGTCCAATGTAACGTAGAAACACTCAGACTAGTCTGAACAGAGAATGGGAACTGTGTTAACGTGAAATCCGAATCATTCCTCGGGGGCAACCCCATGGTCTGTGCATTACAGCACTCAATCCCAGAAGCCAGTAAACGTGCAAGTGCTGTATGCAAAGTCTCTGCTCTTCAGAAAAAGGTACAGCTGCCACATCATTGATTTCAGCGTAACCTAAATCACAACTTGGGACGTGGGTGGCGCTGTGGGTTAAACCACAGAGCCTAGGACTTGCTGATCAGAAGGTCGGTGGTTCGAATCCCCGCAACAGGGTGAGCTCCCGTTGCTCGGTCCCTGCTCCTGCCAACCTAGCAGATCGAAAGCACCTCAAAGTGCAAGTAGATAAGTAGGTACCGCTCCGGCGGGAAGGTAAACGGCATTTCCGTGTGCAGCCAGAAGTGACTCAGTCATGCTGGCCACATGACCCGGAAGCTGTACACCGGCTCCCTCGGCCAATAAAGCGAGATGAGTGCCGCAACCCCAGAGTCGGTCACGACTGGACATAATGGTCAGGGGTCCCTTTACCTTTAAATCACAACTAACTTGTCTCATAGAGAACTTAGTCTGGAATCAACCCCTTATAAACCATTTGGTCACATGCAGTTGGCCATGATCCTCAATGGAGAGAAGGACCATTCCTCTTGGGAAAGCAGATGGAATGGACAATATGGCACAGCAGGACTGTCAGCCAGTGGGACAGGCACTAATCTAGAAGCACAGAGCAGGCATTGGAGGGAAGGCTTGTGGTGGCAAGACAGCAGGGGATTAATAGGAAGGCATTATGAAGCCTGGAGCCTAAAGGCGTAGAAGGAGCCATGGGGGGGGGGGGGCAGAGCAGACAGACATGGGATGGGAGGAACCAAGGCAGAAGAGGGTCTCACCTGGAGATTCTCAAAATGCATCAGGGATTTGCAGTGGGCAAGTTGGGCAGCAGAGTCGTTACGGCAGAATTTGTTGCACAGCCGGCAGAGGAAGCCTGCCACAGGGACCAGAAAATCCAGGCCTGTGAAATGAGGGAGGGGAAGTCACAGATCACACTGAACAGAACCAAAATGAATTAATAAAACCTCCCTCCCCGCCCCCCTTATAAAGCATCGTGTGATACATAAATACAGGAAGCCCACAACTTACATGCATTTAACTTGTGGACATTCAGCTTTATGTAATAAATAAATAAAATTAAGAGGCAGAAAAGGGGTTGGGTGTCTGAGGAAAAAGGACTTTGGCAATCCCACCTGGCATTGCACCCAATGTGCTTTGACTATGCGCGATTTTGGCTTTAGGCGCAGTCCCCCAAATGCAATCCCTGTTTAAGTCGAGGGCTTACAGCACATGTGAAAAAGGGTAGGGGGATTTATTTATTTAATATTTTAAAAGGCAACGTTGCTCTTGTTAAACAAGGAAAGCATTTTTTTTTCTTATAGAGTGCTTTCTGCTCACTGTAGTCCAGTTGCACAGCTGATAATCAGGCAGCTCTTTCTAACAACTGGAACAAACAGAAAAGTGCAAAGTGGGTGGGTGGGGGTGGGTTGCGCGCGCGCGCGCGCACACACACACACACACACAAACACACAGAGAGAAAGATCATGAATGGATAACCAAAATACAGTGGAGAAATAAACACAGAATTAGATATCTGGGAATATGGGATACAAACAAATTTGAATATATAGTAAAGACTAATCACCAAAAGTTGTTTTGTGAGTTGGGAGCAGTGGCGTAGCGTGGGTTGTCAGCACCCGGGGCAAGGTAAGTAATTTGCGCCCCCTAACCTGTGGATTTGCCCTAACCCCAGATGTTGCGCCCGGTGTGGCCGGCCCCCCCTGCACCCCCCACGCTACGCCACTGGTTGGGAGAAATCAATTTTGGAATTCCTTATCTATCCATGGTATGGGAGAGTATTTACTGTAAAAACGACTGTCCTAATTTATTTATACTCCTAAACATCCCATTAGTATTCCACCTGAAATACTGTCAAAATGGCAGAGATTGATACAGCATTTCATATGGAACAAAAAACCACTTAGGGTAGCTGCCCAAAACTCTGTATAAAAAACACAAGCAGCAGCGGTATGGCAGCACCCAGAATAAACGGTTATTATCGCGCAACAAAATTGGCTATGTTAAAATAATGGTTTAAAGAATATCCAGTGTTGGAGGAGGAAGAAATAACAATAAAGAGAAAGCTTAAATATCTGCTGTTTTAAAGAAAACTATTGGGAATCTTACTTTGAAATCCTTCCCTCAGTATTAGCTACTGTAAGAGCCTGGCCTGAAAGTAAAAACAGGTTATCTATGGGCCTATTGCCCTTAGTGTCCCTGTTTTATAATGAATTTCTAAATCTAGGGTAGTTACAAGATTTCAAGCAATGGCAAAATACTAGTTTAAAAAGGTAAAGGTACCCCTGCCCGTACGGGCCAGTCTTGCCAGACTCTAGGGTTGTGCGCCCATCTCACTCTAGAGGCCGGGGGCCAGCGCTGTCCGGAGACACTTCCGGGTCATGTGGCCAGCGTGACATCGCTGCTCTGGCGAGCCAGAGCCGCACACGGAAACGCCGTTTACCTTCCCGCTTGTAAGCGGTCCCTATTTATCTACTTGCACCCGGGGGTGCTTTCGAACTGCTAGGTTGGCAGGCGCTGGGACCGAGCAACGGGAGCGCACCCCGCCGCGGGGATTCGAACCGCCGACCTTTCGATCGGCAAGCCCTAGGCGCTGAGGCTTTTACCCACAGCGCCACCCGCGTCCCAAAAATACTAGTTTAGAAAGCATAAATATGGAGGGGTTGTAGCAGCAGGAAGTAATAAGACGAAAAAGCCGCAAGTCAGCAGCAATTGTGATGGTTTCCTTACCATAGATGGTATCTGGACAGTACTCCTCGCTCCCTCCAGAATCTTCCAGTGCTGCTTCCTTCAGCCCAACATGCATGGAAACAAGAAATGGGAATAAGAGAATTGTGGGGTTGGAAGGGACCCCAAATGAGGGTCATCCATTCCACGGTGAAGGGAAGCTCCTGTGCAAACAGAGAGCCAGTGTGGTGTAGTGGTCAAGAGCGGTGGACTCGTAATCTGGTGAACCGGGTTCGCTTCCCCGCTCCTCCACACGCAGCTGCTGGGTGACCTTGGGCCAGTCACACTTCTCTGAAGTCTCTCAGCCCCACTCACTTCACAGAGTGTTTGTTGTGGGGGAGGAAGGGAAAGGAGAATGTGAGCCGCTTTGAGACTCCTTTGGGAAGTGATAAAGTGGGATATCAAATCCAAACTCTTCTTCTTCTTCTTCAAACTAAAGCTGAGGTCACGAGAGCATTTCACAAAATCACAGAACCAGAGTTGGAAGAAATCCCCCTCTCCAAGAGTCATCTAGCCAGACACGCTGCAACGCAGCAGGAGGAAAGTTCCAATACACATGCATTTACATGAATGCTGTAACAGGCAGTCAGGGTCTGACTCTGAATCTGTGAAAGTCAGGAGAAGCAACTGTGGGCTTTACACAGCAGCATTAGCTAGCATGGTGATAGTGCTAGTGGGTCTCTCTGCACATGTATCTTTACTTCAGAGACCAGAAGCACTATATCTAGTAGACAGAGGTGTCTGGCTTTGTCTTGTCTTTGAACCTTGTGGGAGAGCAGTTTTCCCCCTTAACCAAGGACTCTGGAAGAAGCTGTTCCACTAAGAACAGGAAATCTCTAGACTCTGCTGGGGCTCCACATACTCTGCTGGTAAATCACACCGGATGAGGCGTGGTGAACTGAATTCCACAAGTCACCAGCGTTCTTCCCACCGACCTGGTTGCTCGCAGACACATGCAGAAGTTGGGGGAGGCTGTGGAGACACAGGAAAGGCCTCCCCATGCAGCTCCCCCCCGCCACACTTTGCCAGCCGGCAGTTAGCACAAAGGTGGGCAAGACCCTCTCCCATCTCCACTGATCCATCTCCTGCTCAAGGAAGGACCAGGGACTGAGGGAGGTGTTGCAAATAAGCAGTGGCCCCTTGCAGCCAGACCAGGGAGATAATCCAAAGTAATTTGGGCTCTGTGTGATTTTTACCTTATGCACTGGTTTTGGAACCTAACTTCTGTGTTAAGATGCGCTTCCACTGCACTCCATTACTTGGAGGAAAGCATGAATGTATACCAAGCTACTTGACCAGGAAACACAATGCCCTAAATGCACGAGGTGTGCTGATAAGCTACAGCACTAATGGATAAACGTGGACAGCCTGTTCTGTGAGACTGGACAATTAATGACCTCTGCACCTAGCCTTGAATATTATTATTATTATTATTATTATTATTATTATTATTATTATTATTATTATTATTTATACCCCACCCTTCCCAGTTTAAAAACTGGGCTCAGGGCAGCTAACAGCAAATATAAAACATTGATTAAAACGCGACTTAAAAACAGGATAAAACACAACATAAAATGCAGCATCAATATCAATAAAATTCAAAAATTCAGGGGTCATTTTTTTTGGGGGGGGGGACCCAGTCAGTAGACATCAAATGATCCACCAGGGCTAACTGGCCAAGTTGGTCCTACTAGGGCCAGCAAGGAGACCAAGGAAGAATTTAAATGTCTTGAAGCAGAAGGAGCCAGCCAACCTAGTGCTCTGGAGATATTGCTAGGCTACAATTCCCAGATTGAAGGTGTTCTCAGTAGTGGCGCCAGGACTGTGGAATGTGGTTCCCTCACAGGGTCAGCTGGTGTCAACCTAGATGGGTTTCTGTCACCACTGAAAAAATTAATCTGTTCACCCTGACCTTTCAGTTACAATTAGGACCTATGATATCACCTTACCACATATGGAATTCCCATTCTGCATTTGTAAGAAGTCAATCTCTTAGTGTGGCTGCACCCACACCTTGGAACTCCCTGCTTATTGATACCAAGTAGGTGCCTTCACTTTATATTTTTTGATGTCTGCTAAAAAAAAAAAAAAGAATGTTTATAGACAAGCCTAACCCAGATGTTTAGAAAGTCGATCCAAGTTTTAATTTGTTTTTAGTTTATTGTTATTTTAATTTTTTGTATGTTTTAAATATTGTTATTTTTTGATATTTTTTGCATGTTTTAAATACCGTATTTTTCGCTCTATAGGACGCACTTTTTCCCCTCCAAAAATGAAGGGGAAATGTTTGTGCATCCTACGGAGCGAATGCAGGCTCCTTGGCTTCAGCGAAAGCAACGCGAAGGCTCCAAAGTGCAGAGGGAGCGCTCCCTCCACGCTCCGGAGGCTATGCGTTGCTTTTGCTGAAGCCTGGAGAGCGAGAGGGGTTGGTGCGCACCGACCCCAGTCGCTCTCCAGGCTTCAGGGATAGCCGCCTGAAGTCTTTGGAGCGCAGCGGGACCTCGTGCTGCGCTCCAAAGGCTTTGGGGTTAGCTGCGCAAAGCTTGGGGACAGCTGTGCAAAGCCTCCACAGGGCAGCGGGGTGAATGCAGAGGCTTGAAAGGCCGTCCCAGAAGCTAGAACAGAAAGATGGAGCGCTGCGCAGCGTCTCACTGTTCTAGCTTGGAGATGCCGAGGCTTTATGGGGAAACCCCGGGCTTCCCCCTTCAGCCCCGATACTGAGTTGATTCGAAATATTTTTTACTTGTTTTCCTCCTCTAAAAACTAGGTGCGCCCTTTGCTTGGGTGCGTCCTATAGAGCGAAAAATACGGTAATTGTTATTTTTGTGATAATTTTATTGTTTAGCTTTTTTTTATAGCAGGAGCAACAAACATCCAAATTCAGGGGTTGGTTTGTTGTGCTCCAAACAATGATGATAATATATTTATTTATACCCTGGCCTTTTTCCCTAACAGGGCTTACAGATTATTTTTTTTAAAAAAAGATTTGCTAAAAACATAGAAAAACCAATAAAAACAATTAAGCATTGATAGAATTAAAACTATATACACATATATAAAATATGTTTAAAGCATACCAAAAATTACAATAAAAAGAAACCATGATTCCTACACCAAGATTTCATATTCTGATTTGGTGGGAAACAATCTACAATGGCCCAGTTTGAATGTAACACCAAGCTAGGAATTATGGTTTGCTGCTCCTGCTAAGGGAACAGAAAACCATGATTTTGAGTGACATGCAACCAGTGTCACTGTAGCAACCAAATGAGCCTTTTTCGGTTGCCAGTTCGGCACATGCAATGCAGATGCTGCTGCACACCTTCTTGGAAAACATACCTGCTTGATGAGAGACTCTTCCTTATCCAGCTGCCCAACTTCAGGGGCTCCCTCTTCTCCAGCATTTCCCTGCTGCTGCTCCTCCTCTTCTTCTTCTTCCTCCTCCTCTTCTTCCTCCTCTTCTTCCTCGTCATCTTCAAAGCAGCCAACAGCATCGACTGTTATGAGCTCCTCAGAATCCTCCGGCCCAGCCTGCTCCTTCTCCCCCAACTTCACCTGGCCAGACACAACAAAGGGAGGGTGAGAGACAGGAAGGACAAGTCTCTTAGGAGGCTAGGATCAAGGGATGCACATGTGCAACTCCCACCACCCATCTCTTGCACTCCCTAGTGCAATGGCATTCCACACTGGTACGCAGGCTGAGACCCTACCTGCCCGTGAACTGTCTCGCCAGAGTGGTGCATGCTCTAGTTATCTCCCGCTTGGACTACTGCAACGCGCTCTACGTGGGGCTACCTTTGAAGGTGACCCGGAAACTGCAATTAATCCAGAATGCAGCAGCTAGACTGGTGACTGGGAGTGGCAGCTGAGACCACATAACACTGGTCCTGAGAGATCTGCATTGGCTCCCAGTCTGTTTCCGAGCACAATTCAAAGTGTTGGTGGTGACCTTTAAAGCCCTAAATGGCCTCAGTCCAGTATATCTGAAGGAGCACCTCCACCCCCATCGTTCACTGAGATCCAGCGCCGAAGGCCTTCCGGCAGTTCCCTCCCTGCGAGAAGCGAAGTTACAGGGAACCAGGCAGAGGGCCTTCTTGATAGTGGCCCTCCCACCAGATGTCAAAGAGAACAACTACCACCAGACTTTTAGAAGACATCTGAAGGCAGCCCTGTTTAGGGAAGCTTTTAATGTTTGATGCATTACTGTATTTTAATATTTTGTTGGAAGCCGCCCAGAGTGGCTGGGGAAACTCAGCCAGATGGGCAGGGTATAAATAATAAATTATTATTATTATTATTATTATTATTATTATTATTATTATTATTATTATTATTATTATTATTATTATTATCAGAGCTGCTCCCCGATCCCAGCTCACAGAGGATCACGCTAGCCAGCGTTCGCTTTATAAAAGTCTTTATTGAGTTACAGTTTCCATTTCCAAGCTGCTGCGTGCAACTCTACGTCTTATGGCTAGACCGGCGAAGCTCCGTCTGAATCTCCGCCCCTCGTACACCAACTTAATATCCTCGCCTTACTCCACCTTTTCCGCCTGACCGTCCTTCTCTGGGTCCCTCTGCCCCCCGTGGTCTCCTCCCTCCGGGACTCCTCTGACGCTGACCCCCCGGACCCTCCTGTCTCCTTGCGTCGGGCTTTAGGACCTGGCTCCCTTTCCGGGCTGCTTACTGCGCCGCCTTCCCGTGCATTTGAACTTGGCGCGCGCGCCCAGCCTTCCACTTTCCGCTTGACCGTTTCTTCGCTCCCCGATGGGGGCGTGGTCACTCCTGACTCATGCCCTCCTCCCTGCTGCGAGCTGCCAGGGCTCGATCCCTGACGTCCTTCCTCTCCACTGCGCTCTGGTGGGGACGCTGGCCCCGATTTCCAACTGCTGCCCTCTGAACCCCCGCTGGTCCCTTCCTCCTGGGGTGTCCCCCTAGGCCCCCCCTTTGCTCTGGCCACTGGCGCTCCTTTCTGTGAATCTTCCGATTCACTGGAAAGACTCGGAGATCTCGGGTCGTCGTCATCACTCATCCTTTCTTCGGACTCCTCCCCCTCGCTCTCTGTTTCCTCCCTTGCCCTCGCCTCTGCTCCTGAACCCCTGACAATTATTATTATTATTATTATTATTATTATTATTAGCACACGGATCCCACCAAGGGGCAAGTAAACAGAACAGCCTTAAACAATGTTTATAAAGCCACTTGCTCCGTTTGACCGACAGAAGCTTGGTCTAGCCCAGGGATAGGGAGCCTGTAGCCTTCCACCGGTTCTTGAACTACAGTTCCCATTATTCCTGAGTATTGGCCATGCTGGAAGGGGCTGATGGGACATGGAGTCCAGCAACCCCTGGAACATCACAGGTTTCCCATTCCTGGATTAGCCCAAGGATGACTAACAGTAGACATTTTTTTCTGGGATGTGTGTGTGTGTGTGTGTGTGTGTGTGTGTTAAGATTTCCCAGGGCAGCGGGGTACTCTCTCAGTAGTTCCACCACCCTAAGAAGCTGGTGTAATGTCAGTCACATTGCCCAGCAACCGCATGCAGAGTGTGAGGCCAAACAAACGGAAGAGCCTCAGACGTGGCAGAGTCAGAATACGAAGTCAAGTATGTTCCAAGGGTTGGGCAAGCAGCAATCCACGTAGTCAGACCACTCAGAGGTCAGGATCACAAAGCCAAGAGTCCAGATGGAAACTCTTGTCTGCTGAGAGCTCTGTTTAAGAAGGCTGAAGCCAGCTGGTTCTCATCAATGCCTTCTCCTCTGTGTCACTGGAGGTTAATCAGCTGCAGGTGGAGTCACTCTGCCTTCTCCCTTTTCAGGATGCTGTTCAGCGGATGAAGCTGACCCCTGGCCCATGACAGGTAATGACAGCTTAAATGTAGTATAAACACTGACAACTGGGAAACACTGGCCTGCAAACACTCCAACTGGAGAACAGCCTTTTACCAAAGGTGTCATGGACTTTGAAAGATGCTTGAACTCAGGACGAAATGGAGAAACGAGCTAAGAGGAAGGCACGTTTGGCAAACCTTCACTGTGATCTACTCCTGCCCAGAAACGTATGTCCCCACTGTGGAAGGATCCAGAATTGGCCTCCACAGTCACTTACAGATACATTGTTAAGACAGTGCTCATGAAAGACAATCTTACTCGGCCACAAGTGATGGCCAAAGAAGATTATATTGCTGTTAACCCATCCTGGGACTCTTACCACAAAGGGGCAGGTAAAAAATCTAATCAAAGTAAGTAAACAGGCCTGGGTCCCAGCAAGAGAACCCACAAGTCCTTGCAGTCTTGTGCACCTACAGGCCATAAAGCCCACAGACGGCATATTCTCCTGGGAGGGTCCATAGCTCAGTGGCAGGACACTTGCTTTTCTTCCAAAAGTTCCCAGGTTCAATCCCCAGCATCTCCAGTTACAAAAAAGGACAAGTAGAAAGTGACAGGAAAGACCTTCCCCTGCCAGAGGCCCTAGAGCAGTGGTTCTCAAACTGTTTTCTCTGGTCGAAACAAAATAAAAAAAAATTCCTTCCAGTGGCACCTTAGAGACCAACTGGTATGAGCTTTCGTGTGCATGCACATTTCTTCAGATACACTGAAACAGAAGTCACCAGACCCTCATATATAGTGAGAGGGTATTACTTAGAAGGGTGGTGGGAATGGGTGACTGGCTGATAGGTGTGGTAAACCTGCTGACGACTGTTAATGACTGCAATGGTCTTACAGGAAAAAGCAAGGGCTGAGATGGCTAAAAATGAGATAAGAATCCAATGTCTCTATTCAGACCAGGTCTCTCCATGGTTTTAAGTTTCACACTTTGAGGATAAAAATTTGTTTGTGCCACTCCAAGTTTTTTATTGGTAAGAAATACATTGGGGGGACGGACTCCTAGCAGTGCTTGATTTACAACATAGAACACAACTACAGTGGTACCTTGGGTTACATGCGCTTCAGGTTACATGCACTTCAGGTTACAGACTCCGCTAACCCAGAAATAGTGCTTCAGGTTAAGAACTTTGCTTCAGGATGAGAACAGAAATCAGGCTCTGGTAGTGCGGCGGCAGCAGGCCCCATTAGCTAAAGTGGTGCTTCAGGTTAAGAACAGTTTCAGGTTAAGAACGGACCTCCGGAACTAATTAAGTACTTAACCTGAGGTACTACTGTACTTTATAATATGATCACGGTACGTCCAGAAAGTATAAAACAAGGCAGCTGCATAAGAACACAAATCATTCCTACACACTTGATGCTCTTGCTCTCGTTTTGAAAATAAATCTACCCATATTCTGCAAATAAAAAATCTCATACTATACGACACTGAAATGTTTAAATGTTTCTTTGATTGTCCTTGAATTTTCCTGCCACACTTGCCATCCTTCTCCTGACACACCAGTGTGGCACACGACACACCCTTTGAGAGCCACTGTCCTAGACAGCTGCTGTCTGTCACAGTAGATAATATTAAAGCAGATGGACAATTAAGTCTGGGAACAGAGGAAGCTGCTTTATACTGAGTCAGACAATATAACCGGTCAATCTAGTTCAGTACAGTGGTACCTCAGGTTAAGGACTTAATTTGTTCTGGAGGTCCGTTCTTGACCTGAAACTGTTCTTAACCTGAGGTACCACTTTAGCTAATGGGGCCTCCCGCTGCCGCTGGGCTGCGGGCGCACAATTTCTGTCCTCATCCTGAGGTAAAGTTCTTAATCCAAGGTACTATTTCCGGGTTAGCGGAGTCTGTAACCTGAAGCGTCTGTAACCCGAAGTACCACTGTAGTCAACACTGACTGACAGCAGTTCTCTCATTTTCAGGATTTCATAGCCCTACCTGGAGATGCCAGGATTGAACCTGGAACCTTCTGCACGCAAAGCTGGTGTTTTATCCACTGAGCTAACATCCTCCCCTAAAGTCTGCCCAGGCTTCTGATGTTTCTGAGGCACAGCTCTGTAGCAGACACATGGCCCTCTGCCCACCTGCCAAGGTCCTACCTAGCTCATCCCAACTGCCACCACGTTCCCTGAAGTACAGCTGCCATTACCTCTTTGGCCTTCTGCTTATGCTCTGGAGACTTCATATGCTCCACAAACTTGCGCGGGGTCTTGAAGTGCCGGCTGCACGCCATGCAAAAGGGTCGGAGGGAGCGTTTGGCAAGCTAGGATAAGAAAAGAAAGGGGGACAGGTAGGAAATAATGTGGCATTTGCTCACAGGAAGCCTTCAAGCACACTTGATTTGATGCCACCTTAAATACCAAGTTCCTTCGGGAGGAAGTGCAGGATATAAATAAAGGAAGAGTTTTTTAAAATAACGGCATCAGCTAGAGCCCACCTCATCAGATGCACAGAGGGCACCTTTACATGCACACTGATGTGAAGGGGGGAAACTGAAAGGCTGGGGTTACATGGCAATAAAATTCCAACAGTACAGTCTGTGAAACTTGTAATTATTGCAGCTTAAATGTATGCAAAATGACTGTTCATAACAGCAGCAATCTGTGATAACCCGAACACCTTAGCAGTGCTGAGTAAATTAACAATTGCAGTGGGACACAATAGTATAGTCTCTATTCAGATCCAAATCAACAGAACTGAAATAGCAATTCAGGAGTTAGCCAACTGACAAAGTTATTGAAGGTTTTTTTTAATCGCTGATAAAGAGGCCTTGGTGGCTGATGGATGAGAAGCAGGAAGAAAGCCAGGAGCTACACTCAAAATTCTTTCAACCAGTATTTTTTTAGCTCAATCTAGAGATTTATTTCGGGCAGCATTTGCATTGGATTTGCGTTGCTGACTACATGAACTTATTCTGTATGCTTTCACTGCTGATATTACTGTCGATCACTATGAGATGCTTCATAGGAAGCAATCTGTAAGTGGAATTAATAAAACAAATGGAGCTTTAAAAGCGATTATTTTAAAAATACTGCAGACATGGAAATGGTTGAATTTGAATATTACTGCCCTCTTCTGCCAGGGGGGAGGGGAAGACCACAAGAACAAACCTGCAAATATGCTTTTTTCAGAAGGAGTTACTATGTTTTTTGCCCCCTTTTTAACCCAAGAAAGAACCTGCTATATAATATCAGCAAAGATCCTCCATCAGCAGTGCTATAGTCAGACAGATTGAGGGCACCAGGTTGACTAAACAGTCACTACTGTTACTTGTTAAAACTCCCTATGCATGAGCCCGTTGTCTTTGTCCATGGAGGAATTAAAGAACCTTTTAATGAGGGTGAAAGAAGAGAGCGTAAAATATGGTCTGAAGCTCAACATCAAAAAAACAAAGATCATGGCCACTGGGCCCATCACCTCCTGGCAAATAGAAGGGGAAGAAATGGAGGCAGTGAGAGATTTTACTTTCTTGGGCTCCATGATCACTGCCAATGGTGACAGCAGTCACGAAATTAAAAGACACCTGCTTCTTGGGAGAAAGGCGATGGCAAATCTAGACAACATCTTAAAAAGTAGAGACATCACCTTACCAACAAAGGTCCGTATATGTAGTTAAAGCTATGGTTTTCCCAGTAGTGATGTATGGAAGTGAGAGCTGGACCATCAAGAAGGCTGATTGCTGAAGAATTTATGCTTTTGAATTCTGGTGCTGGAGGAGACTCTTGAGAGTCCCATGGACTGCAAGAAGATCAAACGCATCCATTCTTAAGGAAATCAGCCCTGGGTGCTCACTGGAAGGACATATCCTGAAGCTGAGGCTCCAATACTTTGGCCACCTCATGAGAAGAGAAGACTCCCTGGAAAAGACCCTGATGCTGGGAAAGACGGAGGGCACAGGGAGAAGGGGACGACAGAGGACGAGATGGTTGGACCGTGTTCTTGAAGCTACCAGCATGAGTTTGACCAAACTGCGGCAGTGGAAGACAGGAGTGCCTGGCATGCTCTGGTCCATGGGGTCACGAAGACAACAACTAAACAACAACATGCATGAGCTCGATTTTCTTGGGAACAGCATATTCTGCTTTAGTGTCAACGCTTTAATTTGCCTTTAAAATATTCTCTAATATAAAAAAACATTAACCTATCACCTCCCCTGAGGTAATCAGCATCCAGCCCCTTCCTTGAACATTTACAGCAGGGGTCAGCAACCTTTTTTGGCTGTGGGCCAGTCCACCGTCCCTCAGACCTTGTGGGGGGCCGGACTATATTTTGAAAATAAATATGAACCAATTCCTATGCCCCACAATTAACAAAGAGATGCATTTTAAATAAAAGGACACATTCTACTCATGTAAAAACACGCTGATTCCCGGACCGTCCACGGGCCAGATTTAGAAGGCGTTTGAACCGAATCTGGCCCCCGGGCCTTAGGTTGCCTACCCATTATTTATAGGAAAGAGAAATCTGGGCAAAGAGTTACCTTGTGTTCCTGAGTCCGACGATGCTTGATCAGGTCACCTGTAAAATGTATCTGGCAGGTGTTACACCACCGCTGCTGCTGGCTCTCTCTGCAAGGACAAGAACATTCCACTAAAATGGCAACACAGCATTATCTCCCCCTTGCTCCATTGCCTTTCTAAAGTAAAAAAAAGCATTCTGCTATTCAGTCATTTGGGATCTCATACACTGCCTGGTGACACGTCTGGCATCATTGTGAATCTCAGCTCTCCAGGCTGTGGGGCGTTTAGAGCACAGTTCTAACCCTCAAACAGGAAACATGCGAAAACACAAAAGACTGAGAAAGCCAAGGGGAGTTGTGAAAATATTGCATTCTTAGACCTGTTTCCTCAATTCTGCCACTACTAGTTGTCTTCTGTGACAATTTTCTGAACAGGCGACTTTTACACCTGAAGCGCTTATGAAGGAATGGGGGAACCTGTGGTTCTCTACATGTTGCTGCACTCTCTAACTCCTGGCACCTGACTACTGGCCATGCTGGCTGGGTCTGATGGGAGCCGTGGTCCATAGCATCTGAGAGGCACCAAACTTGCAAAGTCTGTTGCAGGTTTCAGCTATCCAATAAGGCATGCAAGTAATTTCTACCACGTCCCTCGGCTAATCAAATGAATCCTGGAGGACATAAAAACAAATCATTTCACCTTTGCACTGCCCCAAGTGGTGCATAGTCTTGCAACAGGAGCCACTAAGGAGCAAAGCTGAAATAGGTGTTTTCATGTCTGCTTAGAACAAAAAAAATGAACATGCACAAATCCCAACATACAATTTTGTGCTCTAGAAACTACAGGGATGAGGAATCTGCTCGTGAGCTGTGTCTGCTTCTGTAAGGGAGAGAAGCAGCCCACACCAGGGTACAGCCCTTGGCCAGAAAAATAAGTTCCCCATTGCTTGCAGAGACCATCAGAACCTGCCATGTTGAGTAACTGAAAAGACTCTCCAGCCCTGATTTATTCTTCCAGCGAAGGGGTGGGGGTAAACAATCGGTTTGAGAGCTCCACATTCTCCAGTCACAGAATTTTACAGCCTGAGCATTGAAGCAGAGCTGGACCCCCCCCCCCCAAGGACTGACTAGTCCAACAAACCAACATACCCATCTTTCTCAGCCAGTGGTTTCTGCTCCTTCACCACAGGCAACAACGAGACAAGGCAGATGTTGCTCATGTGCTGGATCTCCCGAAGTCGCTGCTGGTGCTGAGCTCCGGCCATGTGAGCCTGGAAATTCTGAGAGAGAGAGAGATATGGAGAGACCATGGAGTAGCCATCATTTGACACCTAAGCAAATCAGTCTCAGGCTAAGCAAATCAGTCTCTTAAGCTTAAGCCAAGAAAGAGTATTCTCTGTAAGATTGAATATCAATATACACATCAAGACTTTGAGATTAGACCACTGAAGAAGCCTGAAAAACTATCTTGGGGGTGTGCTATCTGCAAGCCCCAGTTGAAGGGCCCCATCGGGGCAAACAGCGGCCTTTTGATTACTTGGGACTGCCAGGGCGAAACAGGTGCAAAATGCTGGCACCCTGTCATCTACAACTTCATTATCTACAACTTTATTAACATCTATCTACAACTCTACTAGCATCTCTTGGTATTGTGAATATCACTGAACTTACCTTTTGTTGGTAACTTCATGAACTTATCTAAAAGACCGAGTTAAGCATTTGAAAAATCTATTGAAACCAGACATTATAAGTTCATTTTAGGCTGGGTAGTTCGCAAGTCTTTGTGGCTGTGTTTAATGTTTTGTATTTTTCTCAGAAGGTTGATAAAGTGTGTATAATTATTGTTCTGTGTATATTAATCGCCAACGTGTTGCATGAGTCGCACTACATCATTTGAAACCTGGCAAGCCTATCCAGTTCAGATGGGCTACTTCAGAAGTGATGAAAGGGGTGACAGACATGCTCAGAAATACTAGCCAGGATCAGAAATGGCTCCGTAAGGCTGCCTTCCCCCAACTTGATGGCTTCCAGATGCTGCTGGGCTCCCACCAGCCCAACAGCATTGGCCTGTGGTCAGGGATGCTGGGAGTTCCTGTTCAGCAACATATAAAAGGCCTCAGATTGGGAGAAGGCTCACCCAGTGGGATGAGAATGTCAAGCCCCCCTGCAATGTGTTATACATAGAGTTGCCTCTGAAGACTGTTCAGGAACATCAGCTGGTACAGAATTCAGCGGCCAGGTTGCTCACCAGAGCAAAACGGCTTGAGCATATTACACCAATCCTGGCCCAACTGCACTGGCTGCCAGTTAATTTCCAGGGTCATTCATAGTGCTGGTGTTGACCTCTAAAGCCTTAAACAGCTCAGGACTGCAATGAAGTGGTAGCTCCGGTTGTGGATGGGACCCGTTGGGGAGATCTGGTCGGATCCCGAGGTTTCCGCAACATAAGGACCGCTTCTGCACATGCAGCGAAACCCAGTCAAATACTTCTGGGTTTGCCACCTTCGCATCCTGAAGTTTACGTAACTGGAGGTAGTACTGTACCTCAAGGAACCTCTCTCTCCATATAAACCAATCCGGATCCCGAGATCATCCTGAGGCCCTTCTTCATGTGCTCCCTCCCCAAGAGGTCCGGAGGGTGGCAACATGAGAACAGGGCCTTCTCTGCAGTGGCTCCCCATTTATGGAATGTTCTCCCCAGGGAAGCTTGCCTGGTGCCTTCATTATACACCTTTAGGCGCCAGGCAAAAACGTTCCTCTTTAACCAGGCCTTTGGCTGATTGACATCTGATGCCCTTTTAAAATGTATTGTGGAGGGTGGGGTTATCGGGTTATATTTGTTTCTGTTTTTATTATGCATTTTCTTCTTTTTTATATTGTGACTTTATGTTGTGAACCACCCTGTGATCTATGGGTGTAGGGCAGTATACAAATTTAATAAATAAAATAAAAAATAAACTGATTTTGAAATCCTGTTTCAGAAGCAAACTGGTGCTTGAGAAGGACTCCCTCCTTCCTGAGCACACGAAATAAGTGGTGCACCATAATACCACTGTGATATTATATGCTACTTCAGGTGGCATGCTTTCTTCTCCAAGCTTAAATCAAGCCAAGCTATTCTTTGCCTAGTCCTGGCCCTGAAGCAAACGCCCATTTTTCTTTGGCAATGCACAAATCCCAGCCTGCTTTTGACACAACCACATTTTACCACTAAGGTAAGCGAATGACTGTAGTGGTTGTGGGAACGGATGGCAAGAGTGAGACTGGGTGAGCAGTTGTATGAATAGAACGTTTTATGCTGGCGGGGATTCTACACTTTTGATTTTATTTATACTGATACTGTTATTGTGAATATGGATAGCGCTTATGCATTTCTAAAATGTGAAGTATTTGATACTGATTTTCTTGTCCATTTTTTGTGTGCTTACACACACGCCTATATTTTTACCTACTGCAAGTCACTTCTACAGACAGTAAGCTGTCTAGGAAAGGAATAAATATATGAATACTGATGCAGGTAAGGAGAGTGAGGGCGGCTGGGTTGCAAAAATCCCGACTTTGCAACTCCTCAGATGAAGCGTGTCTTGTTACCTGTTGGTTATAACAGTTAGTCTTGCATATGTAACAGTAGAATTTCAGGGTAGCCTCGGGGCTGCCTCCGGCTGTCCCCATCTCAGAGGTCCAGAAGGCTGGCTTTAGGGCTGTGGTGCTGATGGCTCGGTTCTCACTGCTCTGCTGAATAGTGACTTTCAGGGAGCCTGCAGAGCTGACCACCTGGAGAAGATTCAAGGATTCAATTCAGGTTGCCCATCAGCCAACTATTAAATCCCTCAGCTCCGGAGAGTGGAAGAAGCCTGTAATTCAGGCCACATCCAGATAGCGGCTATACACTTCCCCACTGTGGAAGGACGTGTGGATCCAGAATTGGCCTCCACAGTCACTAACGGACTCATTGGTAAAACCGTGTTTACGGAAGACAATCTTACTCGGCTACGAGTGATCGCCAAAGAAGAAGAAGAAGAAGAAGAAGAAGAAGAAGAAGAAGAAGAAGATACATACAGTTGGGGGAGAGAAGGCAGTGTTTATAGGAAGAATACAGAGGCTGCATCTGGATAGAGATTTCTGCATTTGCACACAGAAGGAATTTGGATGGTCATATTTCAGCTTAAAAAGCCAAGGTAGGAAAAAGACTTTTGCCCACACACAAAGCCCCAGCAAGAACAGGAAGGCTTCCATTAACTAGAGTTTCATCCATACATATATAAACTACAAGCACATTTGAGGCACAGACGTCTGTGAAGTGGTGGTACAAGGGAGGCAGTTCCCTCTCTATCAACGCTATTTGCCCCACCCCCACCCCCAATCCCAGCTTTCCTTTTAAATGAGTTGGTTTCTAGCATTCTGAGAACCTGAGATGTACAGGCACTGTTCCCTCATTTCTTGTGAGAAAGTAGCTTTTACCCATGGTTTCTCGGTTTGGACAGAATGAGAAACTATGGTTAATTTGGTTTGCTTGATGGCCCTCTTGGAGGAGAGCATGCTGGGTAAAAGGCTCCATCGGATCTTTGGTTATCAAGCCAGAGTGTATTTTTCCATGTTGCTATCTGTGTACACCAGCTTTCCCCACCACGGTGCCTCCAAATGTTTAGGGCTGCATCTCCCATCAATGCCAGCGAATGAGCCCAGCTGGAGGGAACCAGGCTGGCAAAGGATGCCGCCCACATTTCCCAATGTTTAGGGCTGCATCTCCCCATCAATGCCAGCGAATGAGGCCAGCTGGAGGGAACCAGGCTGGCAAAGGATGCCGCCCACATTTCCCCAACAGTTTTTAACAAAGCAGCAGAGGAACCTGCTGCTAGTCATCCTCCCTCTCCAGGGGCTAAAGAAGCTTTCTGCTCACCTCCGAAATATTCAGCTCTCCAGAAATGTTCTTTTCCTTGGAAGTATCTGCAGCCAGATTCTCGTTCCCATTGTCTGCCTCTACGAAAGACGGGCAGACAGAAAGAGAATTTAATTTCCCCAGGAGATTGAGGTGGGAGCTCTCAGGAGCATCACCAATCCTTGAGGTCCCCAACATGGTGCTCATGGGCAGCATGGCACTCGCGGAAACCTCCCGCAGCACCCACCAGATTTTTATTCTGGAGAGTTCCCTCCCTTTGGCTATTAAAAAGAAGCACAGCTCTGCTCTCTTTCTCTCCATTCCACAGAATGCCTCTGGGCACCATGTGGCCTCAGAAGGATGCACCCATGGGAAAGGACAAAAAAGAAGGGGAAGTAGGTGGAGGGTAGAGTAACTAGGTAGCCTTGCAGCTGCTTGTGAAACCCCTCTGGAAAAGTATGCCTTTTAAGACTGAGGGCAATTTCCTGGAGACCTGAAAGGAGGTACAGCCATACCTCGGGTTAGACGCTTCAGGTTGTGTTTTTTTGGGTTGCGTACTGACAAAACCTGGAAATATCAGAACAGGTTAGTTCTGGGTTTCGGCGGTTGCACATGTGCAGAAGCACTAAATCACGCTTTGCACATACGCGCCGAATTGCAACCCGCACGTGCGCAGACGCGCCACTGCAGGTTGCGAATGTGCATTCCGCACAGATCATGTTCGCAACCCGAGCATCCGCTGTATGTGTGATGCATGTCTTCGGCAGGGGCTGTTTGCTGGTGGTGGGTGTTACTGTCCAGCCCTTCCCAGACTCAAATCTAGTCAGAGGAGCAGGAAACATGCAACACACACAGACACACACTGGGCAGATTTCTGTATAGCCAGCAACCTCGAAGAGTCAGGCAGGGCCTAATTGTCCCTGTTCTAGGACTAGAGATTCCATGCACCAGTTGCCTGGCCCTTGCAAGCTGTGCTTCACAGTTATTTTTTTATTATTTTATGAATCGCTTCCCATAAAATATATTGAAGCAGTTTCACAGTAAAAGCGTGGACAACAAAAACAACCCCATATGTAAAAATACTTAAAATCCATTTTTCCTATAAAGACTATTCTAAACTAAATACAGATACAGGCTGGGGTGAATATATTTGTATTGCTTTCAACCTATTGCAAGGCATTTGACTATTTTCCCACAGCTTTTTGATTCTAGACCCTTGGGACTAGTTTGCATGATCCCAGGCAACTGTGAAGCTCTCACCTTCCAGGTGGGATTCTGTGTTGGATTCCTCCACTTGCTGAAGACATACTGCTTCTTCTGGGATTGTGTCCTCAGCTTCCCTGGTGGGATAAATGGTTTTGCTTTTTTAAAAAGAAGCTATTAGTACATTAAATGCGGGAGGCCAAGAAACTGTGCTGCGATGGCCATGACCTTGTATGCACAGCCCAGAATCCAAGGAGGATCCCACGCCAAGTAGCAAGATCTGCCAGGATGAATGGGTTGGGATGCAGCCACTGGAAGCCTTAGAAGAAACTGCCACAGGAGAGGGACTGTGAGCAACATCACAGGAGGGGTTTGTCTGGGACCAAAGTGAAACTGTAAAGCTCCCTTGTTGCTTTTGCTATTGGAGTTTGGATGTTGCTAATATAATTTTGTTATCTTCAAAGTACTTTGTCTTATTATGTTGTCTTATTATATTGCTACGATATTATTTTTGCACTGTTTGGGGTTTTGAAATGCATTCCTGTTTTCATTGTTGTAACTTGCTTTGAGCAGGTCTCTCTCTCTCTCTCTCTCTCTCTCTCTCTCTCTCTCTCTCTCTCTGTGTGTGTGTGTGTGTGTGTGTGTATATATAATGCAAAGCAGCACACAAATAGAATTAGGAATGTATGAATGAATCTCTGGCTCCCAGTACGTTTTCAAGCACAATGCAAAGTGTTGGTGCTGACCTTTAAAGCTTTAAACAGCCTCGGTCCAGCATACCTGAAGGAGCGTCTCCACCCCCATCGTTCAGCCCAGACACTGAGGTCCAAGCACCGAAGGCCTTCTGGCAGTTCCCTCACTCCGAGAAGCCAAGTTACAGGGAACCAGGCAGAGGGCCTTCTCGGTGGTGGCACCCGCCCTGTGGAACGCCCTCCCACCTGATGTCAAAGAGAACAACTACCACCAGACTTTTAGAAGACATCTGAAGGCAGCCCTGTTTAGGGAAGCTTTTAATGTTTGATGCATTACTGTATTTTAATATTTTGTTGGAAGCCACCCAGAGTGGCTGGGGAAGTCCAGCCAGAAGGGTGAGGTATAAATAATAAATTCTTCTTCTTCTTCTTCTTCTTCTTCTTCTTCTTCTTCTTCTTCTTCTTCTTCTTCCTTCTTCTCTGGCTGAGCTGTCTACCCAGACCTCACCTTGCTGCCATGGCTGACCCTGAGGAAGGCCTCTCTGGCCGTGCCACTCCCACTGATGACAGGAAGCTGAACTAGCTTGCAGAGGAGAAGTCCCTTCTCTGCCAGATGGTTGTGGCCAACACAGAGATCATGCTATGTCCCTGCTGAAGCACAAATGGATCATAGCTGCCACTGCAAAGGCAGTGCTTCTGCCACAAGTGGAATGACACCTACAGGGACATTGGGAGGTGGGCAGGGGAGCTTATGAGGGCTTGTCTGTCCAGCAGGCTACGGTGCAAGCCCTTAGACAGGGGGAGGGGGCTGGGGAGCAGGGCCTCTGGGTGATCCTGCACAGCCACTCCCACCAGCAGTGCCAGGCCCAGTGGAGCCACCAGCGGCGCTGCGCCTGTTGGAGAAGCCAGCCCACCAGCAAAGGGAGGCACAATGCGCCAGGTGGATCTTTAGGATTCCACCTTGCAAAGCTGTTCTTACAATTCAGCTCGGGGTGCAGATCCTGGCAACTGCCATCCTTACCTTCTGAGACGCTTGGCTGCCGGCTCGTCGGCTGAAGAGGATTCTGCCAGAGTCTCTGTGGGCCCAGAAAAAGGAAGTTATTGCTTCAGAGCAGCCAAGTACCCTCTAGAGCAGTGCTTCTCAACCTCAGGTCCCCAGATGCTATTGGACTACAACTCCCATCATCCTCGACTGCTTTTCCTGCTAGCTACTATTTTGGGGGGTGGGCAGGGAGTCATCCCAATTAGACTAAATGGTGGGTGATTTAGGACACATAAGTGGAAGCCCTTATTCACACAACACATGAGCCAAATAATGGAATTGCTACAAGAAGATGCAGTGATGGTGTGATAGGAATTTTGAGGTCTTAGATATATGTTAAATCTTCATAAGTGTACCAACCAAGCAGGTACATAGATAGCACAGGAAGGCCTGTGACCTGGCTCAGGAACTAAGTATTTATCATTACAAAAGACTGGCCAGGATCCCCAGGAAATCCAATCAAGTGACCATTAAACTGGTAACCTGGCAGACAGGAGGTAAACGAAACACTCAGATTTCTGCTGTAGACTGCCCTCTCTGTGATGTAGGTATGATGTTTCTGGGGGTGGTCTTGGACTCCAGGGAGGGAATTTAAAATGTCTATATAAGGGCAGGCACACTTTTGTTCTGGGTTCCTCCTCCCTCCTACGTGTGGTGGGGGAGGACCCTGTTGCAACAGATCAATAAAGATCAGGCTTACTAGCTGCTTTGCTTCTCAATATTCTCTGGTTGGCCTCTGTTATTTTCTCCTACCAATAGGGAACCTACATAAGGACTCTATATGGGCTCTTGGATATTCCATAAGGGAAAATGGGCAGATTTTTGTTTACAACAATGGTCACCAACATGGACAGCTTCAAAATGGTATTAAACAGGTTTACAGAGCAGGACAAGGCTATCAATGGCAGGCAGTCCTGATGCTGCCTCCAGAATCATGCTTCTCAATACCAGTCACTGAGCAACAATATTGAGAGAGGGTTCTTGCTCCCAAGCCCCCCAGGGGCTTCCCAGTGTCTCTGGCTGGCCACTGTGATAAACAAGATGCTAGATTAAACAAACATTTTGTATGATTCAGCACAACTTATCTTCACCTGCTCATTTTTTATTTTATTTTTTTAAAAAACACCTTCCTATTCTGTGTCGCTGGAGAGGAAAAAGCAAACTCAAGTATTCTCCTACCTGGAGGTGGAGAATTCGGCTGCTCAGACCCCTCTTTGATGATAGGCATATCCAGCGCAGGCAGGCTCTCATCCGCTCCTTGGCCCTGAGAGGAGGAAGTTGCAGAATCCGCCTCCCGTTTCCTCTCAGAGGTCCTTGAGAAGTCCTGCAGTGGAGAATGCGATGGTTCAAGAAAAGAGAGATGCAAACAATCCGCAGAGCCAGGCTTGCTGGAACTACGTCTTATTTATTTGTTTGTTTGCGTATTAGAACCCTGAGAATGACCAACCAGAATGAGGTACAAAAACTATACCTCTGAACATATTCTGTGCATAGGAATTGAACTGAACTGAGCCCAGTCTTTCCACACAAAAACGGCTTTTGATCCCATGGAGGAATCCGCTAAAGGGAGGTGCTTTTTTTACAATTCCCTTTTTCTGCTGCAGTCCAACACTGATTCCCCAGCACTCTGGGACTGATTCAGGTGGGTGGCTGCTACCTGAGCAAAGAGAAATTTGTTTTTAAAATTGCTGGTGCAGCCTCTTCCAGAGTAGGGCTCTCCATATTTTGCAGGGCTATAGGTTTCATCATCAGCTGATGGGAGTTGGTAGTCTGGAGAAGGATGTGCTAATTGAGGCCTTTGCTGAATCAACAACCTTTTCATCAGCACCAACTGAGTTTCACTCATGAATCAGTGAGCTGCAGAGTAGCCGTAGAAATAAAAGCCAGAAGCATAGGAGGAGAGACTTCAAAAACAGGCCAAAATTCACCACAATTGAACGTGGGGAAACTCAACACAACTGAAAATTGACCACAACAGAACACCCTCCCTGGTGATGTAGCTCTGCCTTCTTCATTTTCAATTTTCAGGAGGAATTTAAAAACATTGTTCAACCAGGCTGAAATATAAGTTCCTGGAAACACTGAAATTATTAGCTATGAGGATACTGTATGGGTGTTTGTTTGTTTAGGTTCTTCATGTTTTTGGGAGTTTTTAAGCAGCATTTTGGTGCCAGCAAGAAGATCCAACCTATCCATTCTAAAGGAAATCAGCCCTGAGTGCTCACTGGAAGGATAGATCCTGAAGCTGAGGCTCCAAGACTTTGGCCACCTCATGAGAAGAGAAGACTCCCTGGAAAAGACCCTGATGTTGGGAAAGATGGAGGGCACTAGGAGAAGGGGGCGACAGAGGACGAGATGGTTGGAGAGTGTTCTCGAAGCGACCAGCATGAGTTTGACCAAACTGCGGGAGGCAGTGGAAGACAGGAGGGCCTGGCGTGCTCTGGTACAGGGGGTCACGAAGAGTCGGACATGACTAAACGACAAAAACAATAACCCAAAATGAGCTCACCTTGCGAAAAGTCTGATTCTGCCGCTGAAAAGGGAGGCCCCCAGGGAAAGCCAGGCGAGTGGGCTTCAAGGAGACCCCAACAGGTGGCGGACCCAAAAGGGAGTGTCTTGTTGCCTGCGGAAAGAACTGCTGGAGCACAGGGGCCGCGGCCATGTTGAAGCCTCTCAAGTTACCTACCAAGGACAGGAAATAGCGGTAGGTGAGTGACACAGAGATACCATGTTAAGTACCAGGCAACTTGAAGACACAAAAGAGAACAAGCCATTTGTGGTTTGGTCACTGCGCCCATGCTCAGGACCTCCTCCTCCTGCTTTTATTTGTATGCCGCCTTTCCATAGCGAAGACTCTGCTCAAGGTGGCTTACAACATGAAAAGATTTACACAACTGCAAACATAACAGAAGCAGTAATACACAACACAGTCATACCTCGGGTTAGATGTGCTTCAGGTTGAGCGTTTGCAAGTTACGCTCCGCAGCGACCCGGAAGTAACGGAGCGTGTTACTTCCAGGTTTCGCCACTCGCGCATGCGCTCAAAAATGATGTCATGCGCATGCGCAGAAGCAGCAAAACATGACCCGCGCACGCGCAGTCACATCTTACGTTTTACTCAGGATGCGAACGGGGCTCCTGAACGGATCCCATTCGCATCCAGAGGTACCACTGTAAACAAAACTCACACAATCACTGTGGAAGTACTCCAAATCAGTTCACGGCTCAGATCCTCTAAGGTCAGTTCAGGGCTGCTACACCCTTGCATATATTGGGTTGTAGACAACCAAGTTCTAGGCAGAGTACAGCCACCAAAATTAAAAGACCCAGTTAGTAATTACTATCCATTCCAGTGGGTCTACTCTGAGTAGGATGAACACCGAATACAGCCCATGTTCTTTAAACAGCTACCCCCAAAAGCCAACAACTCATTATTTATATAATGCAGATAAATGCAGATACAAGTACACAGTGCTTCAGCTGAAGGTGTTTAAGATGTAATGATTAAATGGGCACAGGAAATCAGCCCTGAGTGCTCACTGGAAGGACAGATCCTGAAGCTGACGCTCCAATACTTTGGCCGCCTCATGAGAAGAATGTGTCCTTTTATTTAAAATGCATCTCTGGGTTATTTGTGGGGCATAGGAATTGGTTCATTTTTCTTTTCTTTTCAAAATATAGTCTGGCCCCCCCCACAAGGTCTGAGGGACAGTGGACCGGCCCCCTGCTGAAAAGGTTTGCTGACCCCTGGCTCAAAGGCTTGGTTAGCTCTCTAGAAACCACACCTCCAATTCTGCTACAGAAAAGGGGGCGGGGAGAATTACACACTCAGCTTACTAGTTTCCACTGCTGAAACCACAGGTTAAAACACCCGTTGAATTATTCATTCAGATCTTTCTCAGATACGAAGTATCTGGGCATCAAGTATTCTCAAACGTAACCCAAACCTTGCAGTTGACCAGGAAATTTCAGAGGACTGTCAGTGCTCAGACAACTCTTTATTACAGAAGGTAATGTGATTATCAATTGCATAACCCCTGAATAATCAACTCCATAAAGAGGAGAGCTCCTGTTTTTAAAAAAGAAAAGGCTATAAGAACATGCATATTTATGCACACACATACATAGAAAGAGGGAGATAAAACAAAAATAAATGAAATTTTAAAATAAATAGGATATTAGTCATATTCCGACCATCACTCCCGCACCAAAGGAACTGCAAATCTGTAGGATAAAACATACTTTTATACGTATGAATCAGAAAATGCAACAACCCTTTCATTTTATCACTGTTGGCACCAGCTTACCCACAGGCAGCTGATAAATAATCAGCATTCCTCAAACACCCCCAATTGATTTTTAACTGATTGGAAGGTCAGTGGCTCTGAGGATCTGAAAAGGAACACACTCCGAGCCTTTCATGGACTTTCTCATCAGTCAGTGAAGCTCTGCTGCAGCACTTTTCCTGCACTGACCCCTGGGCTAACACAGCCACCTCCCCAGAGAATCTCAAAGGGCATTATCTCTTATCTCTTCTAAAACGATAAATAGGAACTTGGCTTGTACAGTCGTACCTCGGAAGTCGAACGGAATCCGTTCCGGAAGTCCGTCTGACTTCGACAACCAAGGCGCAGCTTCCGATCGGCTGCAGGAGCTTCCTGCACTCAATCGGAAGCCATTTGGCTTCCAAAGAACGTTTGTAAACCGGAACACTCACTTCCGGGTTTGTGGCATTCGGGAGCCAAAACGTTCAAGTCGCAAGGCGTTCAGGATCCAAGGCACGACTATACTACAGAATAGCTAGGACTGTGCCCTCCTGACTTTATTGGACTCCAAATATCTGCAGACCCAACCAGCATGGCCAACGATGATGGGAGCTGGGAGTCCAGCAACATCTGGAGGGAATGCCTGCACGGAGCACTTAGATACAGCGGTTCTCAACCTGTGGGTCCCCAGATGTTGTTGGACTACAACTCCCATCATCCCTGAGCTCTGGCCTTGCTAGCTAGGGGTGATGGGAGTTGTAGTTCAACATCTGGGGACCCACAGGTTGAGAAAGGCTGACTTAGAACATGCTTCAACAGCCGATGCTATTTTATTATTTAATAAAATTTATACACAGCTTGTTTTTTTAAAAAAAGAAAAACCTTAAAGCCGTTCACAAAAAGATAAAACCATAAAATTGGAGGGGAGGGGAAATACGATACACCAAAACATACAAAAAGTTAAAATAGTCAAACAAATTATATTTCACACCACGCTTTCTAGGCATCTAGGTAGGCTTGTCTAAACAATAACGTTTTTAGCAGGTGCGGAAAAGACTACAATGAAGGAGCCTGATTGATATCAATAGGCAGGGAGCCGCAAAGTGCAGGTGCCGCCACAATGAACGATCGGAGTTCTTACAAGTGTGTAATAAGCATCATGGGGCACCTGCAGTAGTGGCAATTCTGCCAATCGAAAGCTGAGTGGGCACATGAGTGGGGTAAGGAGAGATTGTAGCTGTTACAAATGATTTAAAAAATGGTTTTAGATGTACAGGTGTGCAGCTTCAGACTTGGGAGGGGAGACGTAAAACTACGTGAGCCAATGTGGTGGCTGGTTGGGCAAGAGGTGTTAAACAATTTCTGGATGGAGAGCTGGATGGAGAACAGGCCAACCCTCTGCAGAACATTCTGGCAGGTGGGTGAAGCCTGTCAAACAACTCAAGGTGACTGAACCTCCAAGTCAGAGACACAATAGAAGAATTTGGAGTGCATGCTAATTTAAACCTTTGTTAAGAGACAGCATGACATAGTGGTTGGAGTGTCAGACCAGGACCTGGGTGACCTTGGGCCAGCCACTTATTCTCAACCTAACCTATATCTTCAGGTTACATATGCTTCAGGTTACAGACTCCGCTAACCCAGAAATAGTGCTTCAGGTTAAGAACTTTGCTTCAGGATGAGAACAGAAATTGTGCTCTGGCAGCACGGCGGCAGCAGGAGGCCCCATTAGCTAAAGTGGTGCTTCAAGTTAAGAACAGTTTCAGCTTAAGAACGGACCTCCAGAACAAATTAAGTACTTAACCTGAGGTACCACTATAACAAACAAACAACCAAATTTGGCACTTTCTTCTGCCACCATGCAGCAGAACTTTAGGAAGAATTCAAGCTGCAGCTACAAAGGAAATTCATCTTGGCCTCTAAGTGTTATTTATACAAAATACACTTTACTTAATGCCACCAATCTAAGTGATACATGTTACTAGACATCATTTCATATCCATAATAATTTTGCTATGTACACTTCAACGCAACTTTCTAAACATATTCATAAACATTTATCTGAGTGTTTATGGTTGTTTCAAATTTATGTAATTGTTTAAACTGGAGCACATGGCATGCAACAAAGACCTCTCTCAGTGCAACCATGTTAAACAGTTTAAAGATGAAAATCTTCCTGACATGAGCTCAAGTGATTGTGGAGGCAGGGAAGGTGGACGTGGTTGGCTCCAAACAGCCTGGGAGGGCCAATTCCGCCCGTGCGCCAGAGGTTCCTCGTCGCTGTGTTAAGTGTGAAACTGGGACCAGGGGTGTAGCATCATGCGTAGCATTTTTCTGGGGAGCGTGGTGCCCTCCCCAAGCCAGCTCTGTGCTGCTTTGCAAGGCTGGGGTCATTCCAGCCTCACAAAGTGGCTCAGGACTGGTGTCTCCTCGGCAGCGGCAAGGGCTGGACTGTGCATGCCGGGCTCCGATTGTCACTGCCAGGGAGATCGAGATTCAAATCCCCTGCTCAGCCACAAGGCTTACTGAGTTAACCTTGAACCTCATAAGAACCTAAGAAGAGCCTGCTGGATCAGGCCAATGCCCCCCCCCCGCTTTTATTTATTAACGTTCTTATGTTACATATGCATACACTGTCATATTACATTACAGGGCTTATTATACAGTGGTGCCCCGCAAGACAAATGCCTCACAAGATGAAAAACCCACTAGAAGAAAGGGTTTTCCGTTTTTGAGTTGCTTCGCAAGACAATTTTCCCTATGGGCTTGCTTCGCAAGACGAAAACGTCTTGCGAGTATTGCTATTTTTTCCCGCTCCCCCCCCTTTTTCTAAGCCGCTAATAGCCTTTTAGCCGCTAAGCCGCTAAACCTTTAATAGCCGCTAAACCGCTAATAGGGTTGCTTCGCAAGACGAAAAAACCGCTAGACGAAGAGACTCGCGGAACGGATTATTTTCGTCTTGCGAGGCACCACTGTACCATAACTTCCAACATGTATACAAAGTTTACACACAAAATTTATATCCTTAAAGAAAGACAAAAAGACAAAACAAAGACAAAAAGCTATTCCAAAATCATATATGTACCAACACTACGGACTTCCTGTCAATCCCGTTGTATACAGTGGTGCCTCGCAAGACGAAATTAATCCGTTCCGTGAGTCTCTTCGTCTTGCAGTTTTTTCGTCTTGCGAAGCACGGCTATTAGCGCCTTAGCGGCTATTAACGGCTTAGCGGCTTTAAGAAAAAGGAAACAAACTCGCAAGAACTCGCAAGACGTTTCGTCTTGCAAAGCAAGCCCATAGGGAAATTCGTCTTGTGGAACGACTCAAAAAACGGAAAACCCTTTCGTCTAGCGAGCTTTTCGTCTTGTGAGGCATTCGTCTTGCGGGGCACCACTGTATTCCTTTTTTTACAAATGAATGTACTCTTTTTATTGTAAATTTCTTTACATTTTATCTATTACATTCCCGTATCAATATGTACCCTTAATCTTATTTCTCAACTCAATTTCTCTCCAACGTCAATCGAATGCTAGCATAGATAGCAAACCGTTGCTGTATTTTTGAACATATATCTTATATCTGTCCCAGGCCAATGGCCCTCCTAGTACAATATCCTCCTCTCACAGCGGCCAACCAGGTGCCTATAGGAAACCCACCACCGCTCCCAGTATATGAAAAAATCCCAGAGAACTCAATGGGAATGACTTTTGGGATGACATGCATAGAACTGCGCTGTCAACTGCTAAACTAGAGATGAGGAACATGTGGCACTCCCAACTGTTCCTGGACTGCGACTGCCATCGTCCCCAACCACTGGCCATGCTGGCTGCTGAGCCCAGCAACTTTTGGAGGGAGATAAGTTTCCTCTCCCTACTCTGAACCTACCTCAAGAATAAAATGGGGAAGGGGAGGAAACCGCACTTGCATCCCTGAGCACCTTAAAGCAGTGGCTCTCAAAGGGTGCGCCACGTTGGTGTAGTAGGAGAGGGTGGCAAGGTTGGCAGGAAGATTCAAGGATAACCAAAGAAACATTTAAACACTTAAAATTTTTAAAAGTATCGGTATCAGTATAGCATAGCATAGAAATTACGTTTTTGTGGCTATACAGTAATACCTCGGGTTACAGACGCTTCAGGTTGCATTTTTTTGGGTGCGGACCGCCAAAACCCGGAAGTACCAGAACGGGTTACTTCCGGGTTTCAGCGGTTGATAAGCGCTAAATCACGCTTTGCGCATACACGCCGAATCGCAACTCGTGCATGAGCAGATGCACCGCTTGCGGGCTGTGGATGCTGCGGGCTGCGAACGTGCATCCTGAATGGCTCATGTTCGCAACCCGAGCGTCCACTGTACAACCATAAACTCCACACTTCTCTTCAAGAACATTGGCTACTCTTCTACAGATCTCCTTGATATATTGTTGTGAACAAATATGAAAGATGAGAAAAGAGAAAGGCTTCTTTGTGTTAAAGAGATGAGTTTTTCTCATATTAGACCTAGTCTAAATGGGATTACAGTGGTACCTCGGGTTAAGTACTTAATTCGTTCCGGAGGTCCACTCTTAACCTGAAACTGTTTTTAACCTGAAGCATCACTTCAGCTAATGGGGCCTCCCGCTGCCACCGCGCCACCGGAGCATGATTTCTGTTCTCATCCTGAAGCAAAGTTCTTAACCCGAGGTACTATTTCTGGGTTAGCGGAGTCTGTAACCTGAAGCGTTTGTAACCCGAGGTACCACTGTACCTGGCAAAAGCAAGCTCACACCTCTCACTGAGTTTGTAGCTATGCTTAATGTACATAAATGAGGCTCATAAGTATATTTTGGGAATGAATCATGTTCTTATGTAGCTGCATTGTTTTATACTTCCTGGATGTTCCATGATCATATTATAAAGTAGCTGTGCTCTATGTTATAAATCAAGCACTGCTAGTTGTTTCTTTTTGTTTCCCAATGTATTTCTTACCAATAAAAAAATCAGTGTGGAGTGAGCAAATTTTTATTCTGAAAGTGTGGCCCAGAGAAAAAAGTTTGAGAACCACTGCCTTAAAGAATGGGATAAAAAAAGGAATAAAAACATGATCTGAAGACACAGAGCACAGCTACTTTGCAAGAGTTCAGAATCTGATTAGTACCTGGGAAAGAAGGCTACCTACGAATCTGATATAGGATGCCCTTTTTTCATTGACAGAAAAAAGCAACATGTAAATAAGGGTAATCAGTAGGAGCAGCAAATAGACATTTACCTAACCTCCCAGCAGGTGAGTTGCTGCTGCTTATCAAGAGGGGGTGGGGAAAGTGGTTGGGAGGTCAGCACAGTGGAAACATAGCAATGGACATCCTACCTGTGTATCGCCATCCTACCTGTGTATTTGCATCTTGGTGCCCTCCACACCACTGCCTCACTCTTCCCAGCCCCCAATAAACAGAAGCTACTCACCTGCTGGGAGATCAAGGAAGCACCTCCTCAAAATAACCACTATTCCCTCTACAGTGGACCCTCCGGATACGAATTAAATTCGTTCCGGGGGTCCGTACTTAACCTGAAAAGTCCGTAACTGGAGGCGCCACTTCTGTGCATATGCACAGTGCGCAGAGTACTTCTGCGTACCTGTGCGATGGGTTTGCCACGTTCACAATCTGAAAGTTAAGTATCCAGAGTAGTACATAACTCGAGGGTCCGCTGTATTTCCAATACAGGTAGGTAGCCATGTTGGTCTGCAGTAAAAGGTAAAGGTAAAGGGACCCCTGACCGTTAGGTCCAGTCACAGACGACTCTGGGGTTGTGGCGCTCATCTTGCTTTACTGGCTGAGGGAGCCGGCGTACAGCTTCTGGGTTGTGGCAAGCATGACTAAGCCGCTTCTGGTGAACCAGAGCAGCGCATGGAAACACCGTTTACCTTCCCACTGGAGTGGTACCTATTTATCTACTTGCACTTTGATGTGCTTTCAAACTGCTAAGTGGGCAGGAGCTGGGACCGAAAAATGGGAGCTCACCCCGTCGCGGGGAGTCAAACTGCGATATTCTGATCTGCAAGCCCTAGGCTCAGTGGTTTAGACCACACTTGCAAATGTTTTGTGAATCTTTGTCCTGCCCTTTTGTAACCCACAGCGCCACCCGCATCCCTTGTTGGTCTGCCATAGTCGAAACAAAATAAAAAAAATTCTTCCAATAGCACCAAAAGAAGATATTTGAAGAAGTGTGCATGCACACGAAAGCTGATACCAATAACAAACTTAGTTGGTCTCTAAGGTGCTACTAGGGGACGCGGGTGGCGCTGTGGGTAAAAGCCTCAGCGCCTAGGGCTTGCCGATCGAAAGGTTGGCGGTTCGAATCCCCGCGGCGGGGTGCGCTCCCGTTGCTTGGTCCCAGCGCCTGCCAACCTAGCACTTCGAAAGCACCCCCAGGTGCAAGTAGATAAATAGGGACCGCTTACTGGCGGGAAGGTAAACAGCGTTTCCGTGTGCTGCGCTGGCTCGCCAGATGCAGCTTTGTCACGCTGGCCACGTGACCCGGAAGTGTCTCCGGACAGCGCTGGCCCTCTGCCTCTTGAGTGAGATGGGCGCACAACCCTAGAGTCTGTCAAGACTGGCCCGTACGGGCAGGGGTACCTTTACCTTTAAGGTGCTACTGGAAGGAGGTTTTTGGTTTTTTTTAAAATTGTATTTCCAATGTTTGGGTGGTGAGTGCCATTACTTATGTACCCAGAACAGCACCCGCCACCCAGAACAGGGAGGCACCAGCAGCTTTGTGGGGAACCCCAATATTTGTGAAAGAACAAAGAACATTTGGGTGGCTTATGAAAACTGAGCATGTTCGGCAGCAGCAGAATGCAGACTAGCTATTGAAAGGAGTGGCTGGGGTGGTGAGACGTGGAATAGAGTGGCTGGAACAATGACCATTTTGCTGCAGGTCCTACCTGGGTAATTTTAATGTCTTAAACTGCCTTGGGAGTCACTGCCCCCCCCCAATAACAGAGATACCCAAGTAAATAAAAACCATCCAGTGTGAGTTTCCCAAGTATCCCAGCATGCATTGCTCAGCCTCTTCTGCATCAATCCTGCAGGGTTTCCCATCCCAAAAGCAGAGGGCAAGCGCTATACCTTGCATCTGCTGGATGAGCAGGGCCCGCTGGAGCATGGGGTTGGCGTTGAGGAGCGAGGCTTGACTAGTAGCTCGCAGGTTCAACATCTGCTGCTGCTGCTGCTGTGATGGTATCACACACCTGGGAAGGAAGGAGGTAGAATCAGATCAGCAGAAATCCCAGGACAGAGAGCAGTTTGCTCAAGAAACCTAAGGCAACATTAGGCAACTACTGAAGATGTTTTTGCCCAAAAACAATTCCCTTGAAGTGTGACCCAGCCAACCTATGGAATGTTAACTGTACAAATAGAGTTAATGAGCACGTTTATGGTACTATGCGTTGCATCCAGTTAAGTTGTACTCAAGGTAGACACGCTGAAATGGATAGAACAAGGTTAGTTATGCCCATTATAGTCTTGGGTCTACTCTAAGCAGGACTGACACTGGATACAACCCTCTATGTGTGCATCTGCCCTAAGTAATTCTCTCACAACCTTTGCATCGTTTTGGAAGCACCACTGACACTGTTTTAAGCAGCCTTTCAATGTCAGGATTAAGCAGGTTCAGAATAATTTCATTCAACAAAGTATAAGGAAGCTGGATTCAGAGGGTGCCTGACAGACGCCGGAAGGCTTGGTTTTGGTTATTATTATTTCACTATTTTTTCCCTCCTTGAAAAAAAGAGGGCACCCCATAAGACATCATATACCCCTTTTAAAAGGCAGCTTCAAATGGTACCAAGGAGCATGTGGATAGATGTGGGGGTGGGGTGGGGGATGAGGTGAGAGACTCTACTTTGGGAGAAACACATCTGGAAACCAGCTCAGGTACTTGGCACTAGTTGAACAACTTCTTTGGGTGCCATATGGCACCGGCAGGGGGACTTCTGGCTAGCTGGATCTATTTCCTTTTCTATTAAGAGTCCTAAAGCTCCAAAACCCAGTGAGAAAGGAATGCGGTAAAATTAAAGAATAAGGTGCCTCTGAGCACATTATCAGTCTAGGAATTTGTTTTGCATTCCAGTAACTGAACTGACTCTCAACAACCCTTTCACTCATGTCCACGCTTAGCTACCCCAAGTTTTCTTCAATTCAGCACCCTAATTATATCATTATTATGTACATGGTGAAACCATATCATACCATATCATTCAACATGGTGAAACCATGTTGTCAAGTGTGAGTGTGAGTGAATATGTGTAAGAAACATGCCTGTCTGCAAGCTTAGGGACAAACTTATCAATTTTGCAGAACTACAGCTCATACCAAAACCTTTGCTTAGGAAGAGGGAACAGTGTTTTTATATTTTATAGGGGTATATTTAAACAGACGGATGTGTGCGCAACATTATTATGGGACAGTGTTGACATGGAGATGCTTAAGAAGGCAGGTCCACACACAGTCCATGTACCTAGAAAGACCTTCCACAATACAAGCACTTGGGTGGTCCTACTTCATTTCAGCAAACTATGGCAAGTTCTTAAAGAAATGGGAGTGCCTGATCACCTCATCTGTCTCCTGAGAAATCTCTATGTGGGACAAGAAGCTACAGTTAGAACTGGATATGGAACAACTGATTGGTTCAAAATTGGGAAAGGAGTACGACAAGGCTGTATATTGTCCCCCTGCTTATTTAACTTATATGCAGAATTCATCATGCGAAAGGCTGGGCTGGATGAATCCCAAGCCGGAATTAAGATTGCCGGAAGAAATATCAACAACCTCAGATATGCAGATGACACAACCTTGATGGCAGAAAGTGAGGAGGAATTAAAGAACCTTTTAATGAGGGTGAAAGAGGAGAGCGCAAAATATGGTCTGAAGCTCAACATCAAAAAAACGAAGATCATGGCCACTGGTCCCATCACCTCCTGGCAAACAGAAGGGGAAGAAATGGAGGCAGTGAGAGATTTTACTTTCTTGGGCTCCATGATCACTGCAGATGGTGACAACAGCCACGAAATTAAAAGACGCCTGCTTCTTGGGAGAAAGGCGATGGCAAATCTAGACAGCATCTTGAGAAGTAGAGACGTCACCTTGCCAACAAAGGTCCGTATAGTTAAAGCCATGGTTTTCCCAGTAGTGATGTATGGAAGTGAGAGCTGGACCATAAAGAAGGCTGATTGCCGAAGAATTGATGCTTTTGAATTATGGTGCTGGAGAAGACTCTTGAGAGTCCCATGGACTGCAAGAAGATCAAACGCATCCATTCTTAAGGAAATCAGCCTTGAGTGCTCACTGGAAGGACAGATCCTGAAACTGAGGCTCCAGTACTTTGGCCACCTCATGAGAAGAGAAGCCTCCCTGGAGAAGACACTGATGCTGGGAAAGATGGAGGGCACAAGGAGACGGGGACGACAGAGGACGAGATGGTTGGATAGTGTTTTTGAGGTTACCAGCATGAGTTTGACCAAACTGCGGGAGGTAGTGGAGGACAGAGGTGCCTGGCGTGCTCTGGTCCATGGGTCACGAAGAGTCGGACACGACTAAACGACTAAACAACAACAACAACTTCATTTCAGAACCTGTTCTTACCATGCCCTACAAGGGACTTTTTTTCATCCTAATTTTCCAAAAGCTGCCATTCAATACCAAGATGTGGCCGAGGAGACTCCGTGAAATTAGTGAGACCTGCACACCAACAAAACACTTGACAAACAACAACATAGCTTGGCTCTTGCACAGGAGAGTTCCCCAGTGGATTGTGTCCTAGAACTGTTAACAGTATGCCAGCCAACCCTTTTCAGTTGGGTAGTGGGAGGGCTTGTTTTTATGTGGAGTAAAGAACAAGCTGCTTTGTTTGCAGGTGGGGAGCTGAACCAGGAGGGGGCTTACGCTAGAAGAAGCTTGGAATATTGGAAATATTCTTCCTTACGGTGTGTGTGGTGGGGTTGGAGGGTAACGAAATAGCTAAATATATTTTTTGCACCATGAACACTGCTAGGCCACAGGTAATTATGCATGAGAGGATTCTTGGACCTCAGCAATATATGCCAGCAGGAGTTGTGAGATCTGGCACCAAAGCTAAAAAAATGTTATTATACAAAGCAAGCGCGCGAACACACACACACACACAATCTTCGTGCATGTGCTGAAGCTTGAGTCCATACAAAAATTGTTAGGCCCGCTCACATAGCTGGGAGCAAGTCCCATGGAGTGCAATGGGGCTTACTTTTGAGTAGGTCCACTGTAGCCTTAGTCCCTGAAGTGCAGCAAGGCTCGCTTGAGGGTACAGTTTAAATACATATGTACTGTATTTACATTTAAAACACATGTTAAAAGGGCCAGATATGAAATACAAGTGAATTTCGAGGCAGGAACGCTTCAGGAGCAAGGTGCAAAGCAGACGCAGTCAAGCCAGCAAAAACTGCGCGGAGGGCGGAGGAGGTTTGCAAGGGAAGAAGGGGTGTGGAGCAGGCGCCTTTCCCTTGGAGCCAGGCCCACGATCCCCGGCCTCGGGTAGAGGGTCTTACCGGCTTGCTTGCTGCTGCTGAGGCTGGTGCTGAGGCTGGTGCTGAAGGAGGTGCTGGAGCTGCAACAGTTGCTGCTGGAGCTGCTGCTGTTGCTGGTTGAACATGGCTGGGGGTGGGGTTAAAAAAAAAAGCGCCCCCCCGCTCCGAGACCCCGGGGCAAAACCGGAGTAGGAGGCTGCCGTTCGAGTATGGGAGCGGAGCTAAACGTGCTGCTCTGCAGCGGGAGACCCATTCATTGCTTTCGAACCGGCGGCTCGCGTGCGGGTACGTGGGTTTCCACCATCGCGATCACGGGACACCTTGTGGGTGTGTTTGGGGTGGGGGGCGGGGAGGTGTCCCCACCCCTTGCACGTACCGGAGAACAGTGATGGTAACCACGCACGCGCTCCAGCGCATCCTTTCGCAGATGCAGAAGGCTTCAGTACCGTACTTATTTATTTTTCCTGTAACAGTTAACGTTCTGAAATATGCAAGGGAGATTTTAAAAAAAAGAAATAAAAGTTTATTTATTGCATCATTTTGCAAACGGGGTGGGCGGTGAGGAGGAGGCGGTCGCGGCAGCAGCAGCTTTGTTTTCTTCCTAAGGTGAATACTCTGAAATGCGCATGGAAAATGAAACAAAATTCAATAGCAGAAAAAATATTAAAAATATTAAATGCAATATATAATCACTCATGTCTGCACTCTGAAGTAGCTTTTTAACAAACAGGCAGTTAAAAGTTAGTTGCTGGGTAGTTCTTCCTTTTTTCATCAGCAGAGGAACATAGGAGGGTGGTTTGGAGTGAGCCATAGCGTTGGTACATCTACTCACAGCTCTGACAGGCAGCACTGGTACATCCTGTCTGCACGGACTGGCAGCAGTTTTAATATGGGAGTTTCCCCAGAGCTTTCTGCAAATGCCATCTATTGTATGCAAGGCAAGTGAGGTACTATTGATTGGTTCCAACAATTTTTATTTCATTTTATTAACGGGTTTTGTGTTTGCAGGGTCTTTAAAAATAAAATAAATAAAATAAATCATTTGGTCTTCTTCGATTGTGAGTCCCTCTGGGAAAGAACCATGAGCATTTAGAAAAACTGTTGTTAAGCTGCTCTGCATGGGACACAAAACAGAATGTAGTTTATCTCTGTGCCATCCATCCAGCAGATTCTGTGGTGGCATCCTAAAAGCATGAAAATTAATCTAATAAAATCTAATTTAATAAAAGACAACACCCACCAAAACAAAATTACCGACCACAAGGCAATAAAATAATATAAAAGTTTTTTTATTGAAACTTTTCAACATACAATAAAAAACTAATCTAAATAAAAGGATGAAACAAAAGAAAAGAAAAGAAAGAAAGAGAAAGAAAGAAAGAAAGAAAGAAAGAAAATACAAAGCCCTCCATCAAAGGTATAGTGGTGCCTCTGGTTGCGAATGGGATCCATTGTGGAGGCCCGTTCGCAACCTGAAAAGAATGCAACCCACATCTGCGTGTGCACGGGTCGCAATTCGCCACTTCTGCGCATGTGTGTGACGTCATTTTGCGCGTCTGCGCATGCGTGAGCGGCGAAACCCAGAAGTAACCCTTTCTGGTACTTCTGGGTTGCCACAGGATGCAACCTGAAAACGTGCAACCTGGAGCAAACGTAACATGAGGTATGACTGTAGTTCTTAATCCTTGTCTCACACAAAAGACGGTGGGTGGGCCCAGTGGCGGAACAAGCCAATCGAGCGCCTGGGGCGGCGCCCATGCCCTGCGCCCAGGGGCAGGGCCAGCCGCCTATGGGGTGGAGCCAGCGGGGGCAGGACACTCCGTGGGGCCTCCAAGGAATCTGCCTGCCTTCTCCACTCAGCCGCCCTACAGCTGGGGGGGAGGCAGCGGGCGGACCATTTGGGGCAGCATGGAGCCTGCATGCATAAGCCACCATGTCTCTTCCAGGAAAGACATGTGGCTTGGGCACGCTGCTGGCCCCGCAGTGAGTGATGCCCAGCATTTTGTCACCCCCTCAGGGGTGACACCCAGGGCCGACCGCCACCCCTTCCTCCGCCCCTGGGTGTGCCCCCTCCCAGCTTTCATCTGGGAGCTTCACTTTTTCCTCTCAGCCTCCCACCCTGAGAGTTCTGCCCTGTCTCTCACACAGGGTCCTTCATCAGCCATCCTGTTAATTAATGCCTCTTCTTACTTCAGCAGTCAATTTGCATTCTGGGTGAGAATTAGTTGGCACACAAGTCATAATTCAAAGTACAGTCGTACCTCTGGTTGCAAATGGGATCCGTTGTGGAGGCCTGTTCGCAACCAGAAAAGAACGCAACCAGCATCTGCGCATGCGTGGGCCACGATTTGCCGCTTCCGCGCATGCGCGTGAAGTCATTTTGTGCATCTGCGCATGCGCAAGTGGCAAAACCCAAAAGTAGCCCTTTCCAGTACTTCTGGGTTGCCGTGGGACGTAACCTGAAAACGCACAACCTGAAGCAAAGGTAACATGAGGTATGACTGTAGTTAAAAGAAGGGGGTTTAGCTGATTTGATGTCATGATAGCTAACTTTCAAGGCTATTTTGTGGTGAAGGTGGTTCTTTGCTCCAAGTCGTCCCCCCACATCCAAAAACTTCTGTCTCCAGTATAATGAACAGCTTTCTGGGGACATTTTGGGGACGGAATTTGTCCGGGGACAGATTTGCAAATCTAGGGACTGGCCCCAGGAACCCTACCACAGGTGCCAAAAATGCCTTGGGCCAGCCTCACTCAACCCAGGGCCTCACTCAGAAGGATGAAAAAGAGAGTTTACAAAGAGAGCAGAGCTGGCTTGCCACATTTTGAAGTTAATAAGGTAATACACATTATCTGCAAGACCATTCATTATAAAATCTAAAATTGTGCTAAGTGATGGTCAGTTCCTTCAGACTAATTTATGGAGTTCAGGGCATCATCACCAACTTATTTGTATGCTGCCTTTCCATGCTCAAGGCGGCTTCCAGCATAAGATTTGCATAATTACAAACATAATGGAAGTAGTCATAAATAACGAAAGATCAAAAAGTACACAGCCGGATCAAACAATTTCCACAAAAGTCATCATATGATCCAAAGAAATCCTGAACAATACCTCAGCCCAAGGGTCTATTCACCAAGCCTAGCTTTCACCTATTTATTTATTAAAATTTATACATTGCTGGGTTGTAAAAACCTCAGAGTGGGTTTACAAAAACATGAAAGAAAATTCACAGCCGTACAAAAGTTTAGAATGGATTAAAATTACCTCAACTTTAGAAGCATTTGGGTAGGCTTGTCTAAACAAGAATGCTTTTAGCAGGCATTGAAAAGAGTAAAGTGAAGGCGCCTGCTTGATCTCAAGAGGCAGGGAGTTCCAAAGGGTAGGTGCTGCCACACTAAGCAGTGAAATTCTTACAAATGTGGAGTGGGCGTTACGTGGCACCTGCAGTAGAGCAAATACCAGCAATCAAAGAGGTCAAGAGGGCTTACATGTGGGGTAAGGTGATCTCATAAGTAAGCTAGTCCCAAGGTTGTTAAAGGCTGGAGGCGGACCACCTAAGGTGATTGTGTAATAGTAGGGCCAGGCCTGCACATACAAGAGTGGTGTTTCAGGCACCACTTCTCAATTCCCATTGTATTGCAAATACCAACTCTGGCTGGTGGGCTGTTTTCTGACTCAGCCTGTCTGTCTGTTTAGCCCAGAAACTCTAAACTAAAACACCCAGGGAAATGTGACTGTGGGCGTGTGGAGGGAACTAGGCCTGCATCATCTCTAACGGAGGAACCAACTTGGAGGTATTTGCATCTTTCTTTACAGGGAACAAGGAGGCCCTCTCTCCCCTGGGATTTCCTTTTTAGCACCTTTGAATTAAGGGCAGCTTCTTGTGTTTTAAACACCTTCCCTGCCCATCAGTCTGGAACATGGGTAGGCAAACTAAGGCCGGGGGCTGGATCCGGCCCAATCGCCATTATTATTATTATTATTATTATTATTATTATTATTATTATTATTATTATTATTATTTATACCCCGCCCATCTGGCTGAGTTTCCCCAGCCACTCTGGGCGGCTTCCAATCAAGTGTTAAAAACAATACAGCATTAAATATTAAAAACTTCCCTAAACAGAGCTGCCTTCTTAATCTGGCCCGTGGACAGTCCGGGAATCAGTGTGTTTTTACATGAGTAGAATGTGTCCTTTTATTAAAAACGCATCTCCGGGTTATTTGTGGGGCCTGCCTGGTGTTTTAACATGAGTAGAAGGTGTCCTTTTATTTAAAATGCATCTCTGGGTTATTTGTGGGGCACAGGAATTTGTTCATTCCCCCCCTTCAAAATCTAGTCTGGCCCCCACGAGGTCTGAGGGACAGTGGAAAAAGTTTGCTGGCCCCTGGTCTGGAATCTCACCCTATTACTGATCCTTCTGTCTGCAAACCAATAGGCCTTTTTATGAACCTACATCTGAGCAGGGTTATCAGTGGGGTGAGTGACCATATGTTCAGGGTGGGGACCGCAGGAGTACTGTATAATAAATGGCTAAAGCATGATGTGTTGAAGAGAGACCAGATGGTAACCCAGAGCTTTGTGTTGTTGTTTTTTTTGAATAATTTGGACTGAACCCTAAGTACCTACTGCAGATGGTAATTTCCACGAGGGGAAGGGAACCATCAGGAATCTTGGTTTGCTTGTTGCTGACATAAGAAAGGCACACAATCTGATCTCCTTACTGCCAGCAGACCAGCCCCAAACCTTTAGGAAGTGTGTGCAACTGAGCTGTACAAAGTGTTCCCTCTAAAAGGAAGAGTTAACATGCTATAATAGCCTGAAATCTTGACATAGTTTTCCAGCATGTTACCAGCACCTGCCCCCAGAGAAATATTGATATGGCTTCTATCAGCAATAAGCTTATTTTACATTAAAAACAAACAAACAAAATGCTTTAATTGCAGTTGCACAATATGCAGTGACAGCATACGTTTCATTTAGGAAAAAGTTAAAGCAGATTAAAGGCATTTTCGGAGTGTCATGATTTGGGTGGAATTCAGTCACCTCTCGGGAAATTTAGGTTGTTTTGTTTGTTTGTTGCATTTCCATCCTACCTTTTTCTCCAGGGATCTCATTGTGGCGTACATGGTCCTACTTCTCCTCATTTAATCCCCACAACAGCCCTGTGAGGTAGGTTAGGCTGAGAGGCAGCAACTGGCCCAAGGTCACCTGATGAGCTTTATGGGCATTGTGCAATTATATTTTTGTATTTATTGTATTTATTGCTTTTCACATATTACATTACAATACAGATGTACCAAAACCAACACCATTTCCTCCCCATCCCCCCATACATTTATATTTCCTCAACCAATC